GTGAGAGTACGGGTTTACGCCACTTTTAGCAATATTCCAGCAATATCACGGCGGGGGGCACCAGAAATGGGCTTCACACATTGTACCCATGTGGGGAATCGAACCCGGGTCTTCGGCGTGACGAGCAAAAGCTTTAACCACAAGGCTACCCCAGCGCCCCGCCAGTCTAGAACAGATAATGAACTGACAAACTTGAAAACAATTTTCACGAGTTGAGTGATATAAAGTAAAGTATCTTTTGCTTGGAGTTGATCTTTGTGTTCCCAATCAAATGTGATTCTTCCCTTGCCATAGATATGGAAATCTTAGTCTTAGACTTGGGTGACAGATGTCATCGTATCCCAGTTGCGTAGATCGATGCTCATGTTGTTGATCTCTGGGTTGTCTGGTCCAGACTCGATAATTAACAGAACGCCGTCATGTAGCTGGGATATTGCTGAGTGCGGCGTTAAACAACAACCAACCAACTAACCGATCCGTTTGAAATCCTTTTTCTTAAAATTCTGCTTTCTTGCCTTCTGGTGCACTAGAACGCTTAAGTTAATTTCATATGTACTACACCCATCATTTGCGTCACGTGCGGAATTATCCTGTCATTCAAGACACGTAATGGTGGGACTAAATTCTGATAACAAGATCACATTAACGCTGTAATGACTATTTAATATGTATTGACATGTTGAACAGCTTGCAATCTTTAGCCAAACCCATAGCATCTCACATGCATCCTAATCCACAGCATGCATCCTGACACTTGACATGTGCAATACGTGCACACACGTACCTACTGTAGTTGAGGTTCCAAGCTATCAACACAATTCCCCAATACGGTGCGGATTGTCTGTCACACACATCACCAGTGGCCCATGCTTGCTGTAAGTACCAACCAAAATGATCTCGGTATTACAAGTGAGTGAGTGAATGATTGGGATTTACGCCGCTTTTAGCAATATTCCAACAATAAAATGACACCAGAAAAGGGCTCCACACATAGGATCCATGTGGGGGATCAAAAACCCGGGCGTAACGAGCGAACGTTTTAACCTCTAGGCTATCCCACCTCCCCGGTATTACAAGTATGTTTTGGTACCAGTTTACTCCAGGTTAGAACTGGTGTCATTATGGACTTAATGGTTTCCGTGGTCAAGCCGGTGGTATCATTCACTTGATTGTCTGACCCAACTCTGATTATTTACAGGTATTAAGTAGGAGCTTTTAGTATGTATATTGAACAGATACAACAAAGTTCGATGTTAAAATTACACCCACGCAAACATTCGTTAACAACCTACACATGCATGTAATTCGGCCTATCAGTAATGACCTGCACATGCAGCTATGTAACCTACTCACACAATCAGCTGTGCAGCCTTATGTATAGGTGCCTACACGTGTATCTCCAAGTCTTTGACAAACTACACTGGGAGGCCTATATCAGGGGCAAGAAACGGTGGGTGCCGTTGTTTAAACGTACCAACCAAAATGATCTCGGTATTACAAGTGTGATATTGTGTTGTGGTAACTGTGTATTCCGGATGTTTTAATGATTTTGGTTGTCAAGCCGGTGGTACCATTCACTTGATTGTCTGACCCAGCTCTGATTATTTACGGGTACATTTGTATTTAGTATGCAGCTTTTGGTAGGTATATTGAACATATACATCAAAGTGCGACGTTAAAATTACACCCGCACACACATTCTTTTACGACCTATACATGCATGTAACTGGGCTCATCAATAATGGTCTACACACGCAGGTATGTTACCTAATCTCACTCAATCAGTAATACATCTTTATTTAGAGTGGCCTACACATGCATGGCCTAGTCGTTAACAAACTACACATGCAGGTATGTTACCTAGTCTAAAGCGACTCACTCAGTCAGTAGTACATCTTTATTTAGAGTGGCCTACACATGCATGGCCTAGTCGTTAACAAACTACACATGCAGGTATGTTACCTAGTCTAAAGCGACTCACACGATCAGTAGTACATCTTTATTTAGAGTGGCCTACACATGCATGGCCTAGTCTTTAATAAACTACACGTGCAGGTATGTTACCTAGTCTAAAGCGACTCACACAATCAATAGTACATCTATATTTAGAGTGGCCTGCACATGCATGGCCTAGTCTTTAATACACTACACATGCAGGTATGTTACCTAATCTAAAGCGACTCACACAATCAGTTGTGCATCCTTATTTATAGCGGTCTACACATGAACGACCTAGTCTTTCACACACTACACAAGTAGGTGGTCCCTATAAATATAGTGACCAATCCATTGAGATGTGTGGCCTAATCTTAACCAATTTACACCCAGGTATGGAACCTTCTGTAGCAGACTACACAGGCAGGTGTGCGACCTAATACATAATGCCCAACAGGGCAAGGTATGGTAACGGTCAACAGTCTTTAAGAACCTAGCGTATGCAAATTATTATTTTTTAATTCTCATATGGGTATTTATATAGCGTTATAGCCCCTCCCATCTACATACATGCTCAAAGCGCTTTGTTGCCCTCGATCACTGGAGATCAATCTCAACGGCACATGACATTTTCAATCTCAACTCCCTCGGGATCATACCTCGCGCAGCCACTAGGCGCACCAAGTTGTCCAAGCTTTACTGCACGTTGCTGTACCCGCAACTAGGTGTTTGCACGTATTCTTGTGCCCACCATCAGGTCATTTACCAACGGATTCCTGGGTTCTTTAAGTGCACAGGGTTTTGTACTGTACACTGAGTCACATCACAGGAGGAGGTTCACAAGCATGTTTACACTGTCAGTGGCGAGTGTGTCCACATTGCGCATTGATGCATGTCTGACACATCCGTCTTATTGAAGCGACTAAACGTCGATGAAGGTCCTTTACAAGATAATTCCATATTAGACGGAGTTCCTGCAGCGTTGGTGGACGATTCGGATGACATCGTAAACGTTGTTCCATTTCATCCCAGACGAATCAGAGTATCTAACATTTTTCAGTAACATTTTTTTTTCTTTATGCTATACAGCTGTACAAATTGGGCAACGTGTGGTTTATCGGCATCCTGTTAAAACATCACTCCAGGACCGCTCTGAAACTAAGAGGACCAAGCGGCCATTTGCACATTCTCATCTCGGTAACTCGTTCAAGTTCCCTTGCGTCACAATCACTGACGTCCTTACTGCCGCCTTCATCCCATTTCAGATAATAAAACCCCCACCTACCTTCCTGAGTGATTGAGTGAGTTTAGTTTTACGCCGCACTCAGCAATAAATTCGAGCGATAAGGCGGCGGTCTGTAAATAATCGAGACAATCCAGGGATCAACAGCATGAACATCGATCTACGCAATTGGGATACGATGACATGTGTCAACCCAGTCAGCGAGCCTGACCACCCGATCCCTCTTACGACAATTCTAACCCGGATCTTCACGGGTTCCCTTCCAGAGGATGATGTTATGTGTTAAGCTAATGCAGTAATTTACCGGAAAGCAGTCGGTAAGAATAAAGTAATGGGATATGATATAAGGGTAATGCTATTTTTGAGGGCATTATCATTTGCAGAAGCCTTAGGTCTTCCATTAACCAAGATACCATGCCGCAGTTAAGCATGGATACCCCACTCAGACACATTATACTGAATCCGAGCCGACCAATCCTTGTTGTAACCATTAATGCCGAGCGCCAGGCTGGGAACAACAAGTACCATATTTTAACGTCTTTTGACAGTCCGCAAACTTTCCGCTCTCAGAGCTGTCGCTCTGACTAATACACCATTGGGGCGATCTACAAATTAGAAGCAAGTGTTCAACTCGAACTTCGATGTTTTGGCGTCCACGATCTAATATTGGATTGTTTGGATGGAACGTAGCCATAAGTGCCCAATGGTGTTGCTATGGCCATTGGAGTGACCTTGTGAAGAGTCCTGTGTGCAGGTCAAAATGACAATACAGGGCAATACAGCTCACATGCAATAACACCAAAACATTGTGACAAAAAGGAACTAAACATACATTTTCAGGAGGATGAAACTGATTTAGGACGAATTTTAACACTACAACAGAACTATTTAGAGCAAGAAGGGGCCTTTACAACTCACGTATATTCATCTTAAACTCAAATTATTCTATCATAGATCAGACTATATGTTTGCAAGCTATGATGCATAAATATATGTGTCCAAATTACGGAGGGTTCAGGTAAGTCAGTATTCCTTTGTTGTGCCCCAACCTGTCCTGTAGGGATTTCCCTGTGGATCATTTGTTAATCGTTTACACCGGAGGCATTACTAAGACTACTTAAGAAGATCTAGTCTTCCACGAGTCTGGAAATGTTCAACATTCGTCGCAGCTAATATATTGTCTGATATTGTTATTCTCCTGCTTAAATAATACATTGACTAATGAGCATTGACTCCCTCCCCCCCCCCCCTCTCTCTCTATTTGTAGCGGCACGCCTTTTTTATAGCGCTTCAGAGTTGCCTCCCTTGGCTGGCTTGATTTTGTTTTCACTTCCGGGTCTTGTCACGTGGTGTGTTTTCCACGTGGTTCCATGGCGTTCTGAGAGAATAATGATAGAGCCTAGCTTTGCTAGAATGCTCGAGAACTATGTAAGAGCTATATAAAGGCTGGTTGTTGAGTAGTGCGACACGTGGCTTTTCACATGACTGGATATATACACATCTGTCTGCCATCGTCAAGCTGACCAACATTTCAAGACTGACCGTGCTCGTCTATTCAATTGTTGTCAACCTTCAGTCAGTATATCTGTTCTCACTGTGAATGTCAAGACTAGTGAGTTAATATTTTAAATATGCGACACAATATTTTAGATTTGTGACTCAACTGAATTGTACTAGAAATCTGTATTGTCATTCATCGTAGCTTGCTCATTGTTTGTTCAATATATTATTGAATATTTTAGACTTGTCTGTGTTCTATTTTGCTGGTTTAAATGGGACTTTTAAACCTTTTGTCACGGCAAATTATTAACCGTAAGAATACTTAGACAGTTAGATCGTAAGCTTTATTGACATGTAGAATGCACATTTAGATCCATCACAGCCACAAAAATGTGCGGTATTGTATTATCAAATGTCTTATATCTTTGAAATAGGCGTAGCTGTTGGTCGTAACCGCGGCATCCGTATTATAAGTTGTATCAATCCAGGCCGTCAGCTCAAGAACAGCGTAATATCCTTGATATCTTTGGCGTCAAAATCTGGCTTAGTAGAGTTGCGCCTAGCCATCTGGAAAAGAACAGAGTCAATGTCTTATTTTAATACAGCGAAACTCCGTTAATCAGGACGATATCATTGCCATCAAGACTGAAGGATAATCTTTTATGAATTACGAATGATGATCCAGAATATAATATATATTGTGCTCGGAAAGAGAGGCCGGAATAATAAGGTTTATTAAGTACATACAAATGCAGTAGTACATATTTTAATAAATCCGACAAATCCCTTTCCACATTCATAAAAAATCTCTCCCAAAAGAAGAGTCGATTGTACAATTGTGACTATATCATGAGCATATATTTGTTTCAGCAGCATTATAGCTGTACGATGTTGTTTGTAAACAAATCGCGTCTGGACCATATAATCCAGTGATTATCACCATGCGATACAATGACAAATCTGGATCTGGGTATATCTGAATTGTCTCTGAAAAGAAAACATATGGGCAAATGATCTGTGGGACCTATTTGCCTCTGTCGTCATCGATGAATTTTCCGTTGTCATTTTGTTATCTTTTATTACTTGTATCTTTTGTTACACGTATCATCAGGAATTACCAAGACGATGCGGGGCTTATCAGAGATACGCCCATTCTGAGACAGGGCGCCCTGATCTGCTGTTCAGAGTTGTGTCCCTTAGGTGTGCCGGAATCCTGTGACAGTGGATTCGAATCTTCATTTTGAGTAATATTTCTGGTTTTAAAGCACCATTAGTAAACATTAAGATTCATTTCGGCTTTCCTCTCTCATTAAACTGACAGTTTGTAAATAAAATATGCCCAATCAAGTCACTGGCTCTTTTCAGTGCATGGTAGGTCAAGGCCAAGGTCGCCAATGGCGGAAGAACGCGACACATGGTCGGTTGCAATGAATACATGCAGGTAAACTCATTACAGCAGTTACGTTTAAGTGTCTCGCTAAGAATGGTGATTGGAGCCATCAATTCAAGCGTGGTCTGGTGTCTTTTGTGTACACAATGCAATAGAAAAGAAATTCGGTAAGTTACGGGTACATATGGTGAGCAGGGATTTTGACTTGGAATCGAAAAATCACGATTTTTAGTGCCTCCGAAGACCCTAAGGTTCTTCGGTTTTTGTAATCCATGTGTTATTTTGTAGCTAAATCTCTTGGCTTACAGTATAAAAGGGGGCTTTACAGAGAGTAGTGTTGAATACGTCCTGGAACGAAATTGGTGTGTTGACCTCGTTACTTCACTTTATTTCATACGGTCCTAAGATCCCGTTAGTGACCATATATCTATACTACCCATCAAAAGTTTAGACTCACCACTGTAAAAGAAGCCACTTACATCAGGCAACTGTTCTAAACTAGATTTTGCAAAATATTTCTATACTGCTTAAAGGTACTGTTTACACATGAACTGGTGTATTCAATTTGTTAAACAATTTCGTTACCTTGAACAGATTAGTGTCATGAGTTCAATAAATGATGAAACTCAGTGAAACTTGGCGAATTCTTAACAAAACCTTACACCACAACGCAGCTGTTCACATGTACGATATTTGTACATGCTTTTCCGCAAGTTGATGCATGATCTGCGTTAGGTTTGAAGTTGGTTCCCCCAAGTTAGTGAAGAAATTCATCTTCGATGTAACCATACATATATTCCAGCAACATCACGGTGGGGAAAACCAGAAAAGGGCTTCACACATTGTGCCTATGTGGGGAATCGAACCCGGCCTTCGAGCGAACGTTTTAACCACTAGGCTACCCCACAGCCCCACCATATATATAGATACATACAGTGAGTGAGTGAGTCTAAACTTTTGACGGTATACCAGTAGTATATATACCGAGAAGCTACTTTGCGTTACAAGCCCCTGTGACCTTGAGGCTACAAAAGCTATCATTGAATACACAGTCAATCAGAATTATACTATGCTGGGCTCAGTGGATGTTCATAATATCAATTACTTGAATCTCTGGTTCAGATAGGGCTATTTTCAGACCACCCGAATATAGGAGGAATGTCGCGGCGTTAAACAACACACAAAACATAAAATATTGAAGAATATAAATGAGAATTACTTACGATATCCATAACGACGTCTGGCCCATCCGGTCTGATGCGTGCCAAAGCTCCCATGAAATCTACTTCGATGTGTGCCAAAGCTCCCATGAAATCTACTTCGATGTGTGCCAAAGCTCCCATAATATCTACTTCGATGTGTGCCAAAGCCCCCATGATGTATCCTTCGATGTGTGCCAAAGCCCCAATGATGTCTCCTTTGCCCCCATCTATACGGTTGTGGCCATCCGGCTCCATGTCCTTCTGTGCAAATGTAAAGGGACTATATTGACTGTAAGTAAAATAAGTCGTGGAAACAGAGATGGTTTGTGACCACACAATGAAGCAAACGCCTTGTTTATGTTCAAACGCTCCTCGCATAGAGGATGACGTGTTCCCTGGACCTAGATGATTCAAATGCATGCTGTCTTTAAACCAGCCTGGACTAAGTCGACCTTAGACTATTCACATGCATGCTGCCTTAAAACCATCGTTGGCCTAGTCTACCTTACCTGATTCAAATGCATGGTGCCTTAAAACAATCCTCGAATAAGTCGGTCTTAGCTGATTCACATGCATGCTGTATAAAAAGCATCCTGGGCTAAGTAGACCTCAAGAGATTAAAATGCAGGTTGCCTTAAAACTACCCTGGGCTTATTCGACCTTAGTTTTTCACATGCACACTGTCTTAAAGCCATCCTGGACTTTGTCGACCATAACTTATTCTAGGACTGCATGGTATTATCAGTATGCTGGTATGCCGCAATACGCTTTTCAAACAATACATACTGCAATACACGCTCTGAGAATCGGTGACAATCCTGTTGTCTTAAAAGAATCTTGGGCGAATACGATCTTACCTGATTCAAAATGCATGCTGTCTTAAAATCACCATAGGTTAAGTCAAAAGTAGCTTATTCAAATATATGCTGTCTTAAAACTACTCTGGATTTAACCGACCTTAGCTGATTAAAATACATGTTGTGTTGAAACCATCCTGTGCTAAATCGTCCTTAGCTAATTCACAGGCTTGCTGTCTTAAAATCAAACTGGCTAAATAAACCTTTATTGATTCAAATGCATGCTGTTAGAAGCATCTTGGGCATCTAAAGTATCTTGAGTCAGTCGTAAATCCCAGTTGTGGTGTCCCCGGCCCTGGAAAATTGCTGAACAATTGCGTAAAGGGCGACTGTTATACTCACAAAATAGTTTGTACCACAGCTTAACACCACAACCGCAATATTGAGGTGTATGGTGAGGCTGGCTATTTCAAGGTATTTCCGGGCGCGTTTTTTGCAGTTTAACACTAAAGACGCCATTTCCCACAAGTTTAAAGCGAATTCCTACATGCACACGCACACACACACATACGCACGCACGGAAGCGTAGACACTCGCCAGACACAGACATACACACTTACTTGGACATGGACCATGCTTGCAGTGGACAGTCCTCGTCTCCATTCCAATGAAATTGGTCCGACAGTTAGCGGAACAGGTACGGTTCCTTGCCTGCGAGTGTGCCCCAGACCCACAGGTCACTGAACAGGCTCCACTATTAGCCCATTCACACCATTCAGTGATCACTGCAAAGAACATCAACACTTAAAAACAGTGATTCATAATGTTCGAAACACCAGAGCGTTCATGCAAAAAGAGTCGTAACGCGAACGAGATTAAAAATTATATCCACTTACCGACAGATCCTAATTAGAGAACGCGAGAAAATTGGACTAAATCAACTAAACGTTAAATAGGTGTATATCACTGGTCATTCAGTCTTCTTTGAATCTCCTCCAAAAGGTGCTCTATTGGACTTAGTATTGTCTTAGTAAGTCCAATGTTACCCTAACAGTGTGGGCACGAGTGTTGTCTTGCTGGAAGATGTGATGTCTGTGGTACAACGTGGGGTCTTATGACTTGGTCAATATAGCGAGCAGCTGTCACGTCATTTCCTCATCCTGGACCGAGATTCTGGAACACCACGGTGCCAACTGTCTGGTTCAGATCGATTCCACCCCATGCCATAATGCATGGATCACCCCACGAGTCTCTTTCAACAATACTCTCATTGGAAAACAGTTCCCCACGCCTTCGCCATACTCTCACTCTGCCATTGGCTGTTGAAACACAATATCTGCTTTCATCAGAAAAAACACAGTTCTCCATTGTCGACAACACCAATTTCGATGCTGAGATGCCTATTGCATTCGGTTTATGGTCTGCTGTGAGTTCCAATGGTCTAGGGTGCTGTTTCCGTCGCTTTTGAAAAGGAATCCTGTAGATGGTTGCACATAATCTGTCGGTCTTGACGTTGTGATGTAACCGAAGGTCGTCCTCTGCGTGGACGGTCTTGGATGCTGTTAGTGGCCTGATACCCCTCCTGTCGGTAGATTGACCTAACGTGAACATTAAAATGATTGGCTACCCTCTGTACGGAATAGACAAGTTGCAATCGTCCCAAGGCCTGGTTCCTCTGATGTCTCGTAAGTCGTGGCATGGCGATTGTGTCAAAACAAACATAATTTCAGGCGGGTTTGGAACTCGTTTTCATTGGTAGGACTGTCACGATATGCATGTGTATTTTCATTTTCACGAATATCGTACGGAACTTTACCACGTCCTTTTAGGTCCGTTTGGTCGATATGCTTTTTCATCAGAAAACACACTGATGTTGGTAACAACTGTCAATTTGGATTGAAAAAACACACGGTACAATCATCATAAAAACACCACCTTGTAAGAACAAGGTTCTTTTGCGGTTCAGTATTTCTCCTCTATGCTATTTCAATTACATTTGAGATTATCGTAAACCATATGGGGCAATATGGATGTCGTATTTCTACTTCCAATGTAATTTAAGATCAGTACATCCAGATGAAGAATTGTCTGAATCGGGAAATGAATTAGTTCCTCAAAAGTAGTAGTGACGTAGATGGATGGTGACATCTTTTGTAGTTTCTTCACAACAAATATTCATATGATATCATCAGTAGATGAGAAAGACCTGTTATAAACAACGTGACAGTCAGTCACAATGACAGCACGTCGTAATATACACTCATGGAAACGAATAAGGGAACACATGAAAGTACAAGTGTTCCTTTATTCTTTTCCAGAATTTCATCCACCGAGGAACACTTGTACTTTCAGGTGTTCCCTTATTTGTTTCCATGAGTATATTTTGAACTAGCATCAGATGTCAAAATGGCTGACACGATAAAGTTCAGGGGAAAGATTTCTGACTTTGTTAAGAAAACTGTCAGTTTCGCTTCCAAGAAAGTCATGATTCTCATCATGGATAATCTGAACTTCAATTTAGAAAAACATAATATATAAACATATAACTTTCACTTTAGAAACAACACGTGTTCCGCCTACCTGGACATGGGCTTTCGTCACACGCCACAGTTCTCGTCTCCATTCCCATGAAATTGGCCGGACAGTTAGCGGAACAGGTACGGTTCCTAGCCTGTGTCACTGTCCCCGACCCGCACGTCACTGAGCATGCTCCACTATTAGCCCATTCGGACCACTCGGTGACCACTACAAACAGGATAACAACCTTATTACATCCTCGATGAAGCATTTGAAAAGCAGAAGAAAAAAGTGAGTTGAGCTATTTTAGATGGCTTTGAACTGAACGCTGAGAAGCTGACTCCTGCTCGGACAATTACGAAAGATTCTTGTAAGTCAGTATTATCGTTGTAAAAGTCCAGCCTGTTTATACATTGCTCTGTTAGGATGTTCTTACGTCGTTAGTATTCACATGCACTGTCTCTAACTTGTGGAAGCATTAAAACTGTTCACACTACGATCCAGAATGGTAAACAACAACGGAGAGTTCATGCAAATAGCATTTGAATGTGTGCTAAGTGGGTGACTCCTATTCTGACGACCGGCTTTGAGAATGGCATGTTTGTGTGCCCTTAATATCATATCCAAAACATAAAAATGATCCACGCCACAGAAACATCAAACTAAACTGTCTCCCAAAACAGAATCCATAACACGATAAAATTGACAGAAGAGGTGTCCGAAGATGCCGCAGAACCTGTTGGAATTGGAGAAGTAAGTCGCCATTGATCAACTGGCTCATTATAAAAAAGTGAATATAAGATGTGTCAGGTTGATACGGATCTGATTATCAGTAGCAAGGCTGCGGTCGACTGTCATTATCAGTCTATGCAGCAACTATTCGATACCTCGATAGTTTGGATGTCAAATTATTCGTATTGTTCCCTTAGATACTCAGTGGAGGATATTCCTGTATGATCATGCAGCCAAATGGTGTTGCTCAAACAATTATGAAAGTCAGCTATGCAATCCATGATTCTCATCCAAAGAAGCACCTATACCGTGTAAACTTCACATTAAAAATGTATATACATAAAACACTTGTTCCACATACCTGGACATGGGCTTTCGTCACACGCCACAGTCCTCGTCTCCATTCCCATGAAAGTGGTCGGACAGTTAGCGGAACAGGTACGGTTCCTAGCCTGTGTCACTGTCCCCGACCCGCACGTCACTGAGCATGCTCCACTATTAGCCCATTCGGACCAATCGGTGACCACTACAAACAGGATAACAACCTTATCACATCTCGATGAAGAATTTGGAAAGCAGAAGACAAAAAGTGAGTTGAGCTATTTTAGATGGCTTTGAACTGAACGCTGAGAAGCTGACTCCTGCTCGGACAATTACGAAAGATTCTTGTAAGTCAGTATTATCGTTGTAAAAGTCCAGCCTGTTTATACATTGCTCTGTTAGGATGTTCTTACGTCGTTAGTATTCAAATGCACTGTCTCTAACTTGTGGAAGCATTAAAACTGTTCACACTACGATCCAGAATGGTAAACAACAACGGAGAGTTCATGCAAATAGCATTTGAATGTGTGCTAAGTGGGTGACTCCTATTCTGACGACCGGCTTTGAGAATGGCATGTTTGTGTGCTCTTAATATCATATCCAAAACATAAAAATGATCCACGCCACAGAAACATCAAACTAAACTGTCTCCCAAAACAGAATCCATAACACGATAAAATTGACAGAAGAGGTGTCCGAAGATGCCGCAGAACCTGTTGGAATTGGAGAAGTAAGTCGCCATTGATCAACTGGCTCATTATAAAAAAGTGAATATAAGATGTGTCAGGTTGATACGGATCTGATTATCAGTAGCAAGGCTGCGGTCGACTGTCATTATCAGTCTATGCAGCAACTATTCGATACCTCGATAGTTTGGATGTCAAATTATTCGTATTGTTCCCTTAGATACTCAGTGGAGGATATTCCTGTATGATCATGCAGCCAAATGGTGTTGCTCAAACAATTATGAAAGTCAGCTATGCAATCCATGATTCTCATCCAAAGAAGCACCTATACCGTGTAAACTTCACATTAAAAATGTATATACATAAAACACTTGTTCCACATACCTGGACATGGGCTTTCGTCACACGCCACAGTCCTCGTCTCCATTCCCATGAAAGTGGTCGGACAGTTAGCGGAACAGGTACGGTTCCTAGCCTGTGTCACTGTCCCCGACCCAAGACGTCACTGAGCATGCTCCACTATTAGCCCATTCGGACCAATCGGTGACCACTACAAACAGGATAACAACCTTATCACATCTCGATGAAGAATTTGGAAAGCAGAAGAAAAAAGTGAGTTGAGCTATTTTAGATGGCTTTGAACTGAACGCTGAGAAGCTGACTCCTGCTCGGACAATTACGAAAGATTCTTGTAAGTCAGTATTATCGTTGTAAAAGTCCAGCCTGTTTATACATTGCTCTGTTAGGATGTTCTTACGTCGTTAGTATTCAAATGCACTGTCTCTAACTTGTGGAAGCATTAAAACTGTTCACACTACGATCCAGAATGGTAAACAACAACGGAGAGTTCATGCAAATAGCATTTGAATGTGTGCTAAGTGGGTGACTCCTATTCTGACGACCGGCTTTGAGAATGGCATGTTTGTGTGCTCTTAATATCATATCCAAAACATAAAAATGATCCACGCCACAGAAACATCAAACTAAACTGTCTCCCAAAACAGAATCCATAACACGATAAAATTGACAGAAGAGGTGTCCGAAGATGCCGCAGAACCTGTTGGAATTGGAGAAGTAAGTCGCCATTGATCAACTGGCTCATTATAAAAAAGTGAATATAAGATGTGTCAGGTTGATACGGATCTGATTATCAGTAGCAAGGCTGCGGTCGACTGTCATTATCAGTCTATGCAGCAACTATTCGATACCTCGATAGTTTGGATGTCAAATTATTCGTATTGTTCCCTTAGATACTCAGTGGAGGATATTCCTGTATGATCATGCAGCCAAATGGTGTTGCTCAAACAATTATGAAAGTCAGCTATGCAATCCATGATTCTCATCCAAAGAAGCACCTATACCGTGTAAACTTCACATTAAAAATGTATATACATAAAACACTTGTTCCACATACCTGGACATGGGCTTTCGTCACACGCCACAGTCCTCGTCTCCATTCCCATGAAAGTGGTCGGACAGTTAGCGGAACAGGTACGGTTCCTAGCCTGTGTCACTGTCCCCGACCCGCACGTCACTGAGCATGCTCCACTATTAGCCCATTCGGACCAATCGGTGACCACTACAAACAGGATAACAACCTTATCACATCTCGATGAAGAATTTGGAAAGCAGAAGAAAAAAGTGAGTTGAGCTATTTTAGATGGCTTTGAACTGAACGCTGAGAAGCTGACTCCTGCTCGGACAATTACGAAAGATTCTTGTAAGTCAGTATTATCGTTGTAAAAGTCCAGCCTGTTTATACATTGCTCTGTTAGGATGTTCTTACGTCGTTAGTATTCAAATGCACTGTCTCTAACTTGTGGAAGCATTAAAACTGTTCACACTACGATCCAGAATGGTAAACAACAACGGAGAGTTCATGCAAATAGCATTTGAATGTGTGCTAAGTGGGTGACTCCTATTCTGACGACCGGCTTTGAGAATGGCATGTTTGTGTGCTCTTAATATCATATCCAAAACATAAAAATGATCCACGCCACAGAAACATCAAACTAAACTGTCTCCCAAAACAGAATCCATAACACGATAAAATTGACAGAAGAGGTGTCCGAAGATGCCGCAGAACCTGTTGGAATTGGAGAAGTAAGTCGCCATTGATCAACTGGCTCATTATAAAAAAGTGAATATAAGATGTGTCAGGTTGATACGGATCTGATTATCAGTAGCAAGGCTGCGGTCGACTGTCATTATCAGTCTATGCAGCAACTATTCGATACCTCGATAGTTTGGATGTCAAATTATTCGTATTGTTCCCTTAGATACTCAGTGGAGGATATTCCTGTATGATCATGCAGCCAAATGGTGTTGCTCAAACAATTATGAAAGTCAGCTATGCAATCCATGATTCTCATCCAAAGAAGCACCTATACCGTGTAAACTTCACATTAAAAATGTATATACATAAAACACTTGTTCCACATACCTGGACATGGGCTTTCGTCACACGCCACAGTCCTCGTCTCCATTCCCATGAAAGTGGTCGGACAGTTAGCGGAACAGGTACGGTTCCTAGCCTGTGTCACTGTCCCCGACCCGCACGTCACTGAGCATGCTCCACTATTAGCCCATTCGGACCAATCGGTGACCACTACAAACAGGATAACAACCTTATCACATCTCGATGAAGAATTTGGAAAGCAGAAGAAAAAAGTGAGTTGAGCTATTTTAGATGGCTTTGAACTGAACGCTGAGAAGCTGACTCCTGCTCGGACAATTACGAAAGATTCTTGTAAGTCAGTATTATCGTTGTAAAAGTCCAGCCTGTTTATACATTGCTCTGTTAGGATGTTCTTACGTCGTTAGTATTCAAATGCACTGTCTCTAACTTGTGGAAGCATTAAAACTGTTCACACTACGATCCAGAATGGTAAACAACAACGGAGAGTTCATGCAAATAGCATTTGAATGTGTGCTAAGTGGGTGACTCCTATTCTGACGACCGGCTTTGAGAATGGCATGTTTGTGTGCTCTTAATATCATATCCAAAACATAAAAATGATCCACGCCACAGAAACATCAAACTAAACTGTCTCCCAAAACAGAATCCATAACACGATAAAATTGACAGAAGAGGTGTCCGAAGATGCCGCAGAACCTGTTGGAATTGGAGAAGTAAGTCGCCATTGATCAACTGGCTCATTATAAAAAAGTGAATATAAGATGTGTCAGGTTGATACGGATCTGATTATCAGTAGCAAGGCTGCGGTCGACTGTCATTATCAGTCTATGCAGCAACTATTCGATACCTCGATAGTTTGGATGTCAAATTATTCGTATTGTTCCCTTAGATACTCAGTGGAGGATATTCCTGTATGATCATGCAGCCAAATGGTGTTGCTCAAACAATTATGAAAGTCAGCTATGCAATCCATGATTCTCATCCAAAGAAGCACCTATACCGTGTAAACTTCACATTAAAAATGTATATACATAAAACACTTGTTCCACATACCTGGACATGGGCTTTCGTCACACGCCACAGTCCTCGTCTCCATTCCCATGAAAGTGGTCGGACAGTTAGCGGAACAGGTACGGTTCCTAGCCTGTGTCACTGTCCCCGACCCGCACGTCACTGAGCATGCTCCACTATTAGCCCATTCGGACCAATCGGTGACCACTACAAACAGGATAACAACCTTATCACATCTCGATGAAGAATTTGGAAAGCAGAAGAAAAAAGTGACTCGGACAATTACGAAAGATTCATGTAAGTCAGTATTATTTTTGTAAAAGTCCAGCCTGTTTTTACATTGCTCTGTTAGGATGTTCTTACGTCGTTAGTCGGACCACTCGGTGACCATTACGAACAGGATAACGACCTTATCACATCTGGATGAGCAATTTCGAAAAAGAAGCTTGAGGGAGTTAATACAGATGGCGTTGACCCGTGCGCCTAAAAGCCGACACATGCTCTGACAATGACTGGGGTTCAGGTAAGTCAGTATTCTCGTTGTAAGACACCAGCCTTCATGGTAGTTCCGTTAGTATTCAAATATGCTCGCGCTATCTCACGGCAACATCATACGAAAGACTTTTATCATATTGATTCCTTCCAGTTTGGGTCATTCATGATCATGAGCCATGAGCCACATAATATTTGTTTTGTTTTGTGAAGAATATTTGCTGCTTGAAGAATATTCATATGAACATAAATGCTTGTGTTAAATGTAAAAATGAAAACTGGTAACTGAAACTTTTAATTCTACGTTAGAATGCTTAGTCGAGCGAAGGCTTTAACCATTAGGCTATCCCACCGCCCAAATTAACATATACAGACCCAACACTCGTACACGTTCCGTTCGTACATATCTGCACTAGTGTTGGGAATTGGTAAAAATCTCATAGTTGATGACTGGTTCATTGCAACCGATCAATCATCGAAAGTAATTGGTTAGCGTCATTTGTGATATTTTCCTGGTTATGTTTGTTAATGCACAAACAATAAAAACAAAACATGTAGTTCTTTCGGGTTTTTGCACAAAATGCATTTGCACATTTCACATCTTTAAAGGATGACAAGTATGTTAGGAACATAAATTTCTTGGAGTCTTTAAGATAAATTCAATCAGGACTTTGAAGGAGCTTGTATTTCTTATGAAATGTAACAGACAAAACCAACCTTGTGAAAAATATTGTTAATGCAAACAAGTGTTCCAAAATTGTTTGTGTTCGATTATGAGAAAACATGATCGATTGCTTGGTCGTTTAGTCATTGCGACCAATCTTCGATTATTTCAATTAATCGGAACACCACTAATCTGCACTTGCTGCACCTACCTGGACAAGGACCTTCGTTACATGAGGTAAATCTGGTCTCCATTGACACAAAGTCAGGCTGGCAAACACCAGTACAAGATCGGTTCCGAAGAACCTTTAGCAAGATTCCACCAATATCACGACGGGGGACACCAGAAATGGGCTTCATACATTTGTAACCATGTGGGGAATCAAACCCGGGCCTTTGGCGTTGCAAGCCAAACCACTAGGCTACCCCACCGCCCCGATAGCCACAAAGAAGGCCAAGGCATCATCAAACTACGATCTGGAATTGTATGGTTGGGAACTAGAAGCCTAACAGTGTGTTCCCAGTGGCACACACAGCACAAGTATATTACACCACAATCCTGTATATCTGGAAGTTGTGTGAAGGATCTGTGGTGCATATGTTAATCTACACGCACTCACTCACTCGCTTACGTACGCACTCATGCACGCATTCATTCAATCACTCATCCATGCACTCATACTTCTTGAAACCTCATAAACAACAAAGAAAACATAAGGAAGTGCACACGAATCGTATTTAATAAGTACTCGTTTACTTGAACGGTTTTGATGTCAACACGCTACTGTTGCTGCAGCCGATTTTGACCCAGGAACTCACTGGTTTGCTATCGATATAGATCACAGAGATCGATAATCGTCAACTAAATATCGATCAACATTGAGTCGTTCATCACACCAACTTCTAAATGCCTCTCACAGAAGTTAAATATCGATCGATAATCGATAAATATCGGATTCGTTTGTTTAAAACGTCTGAAAAAAATGAATATATTTCACATCGCTGGTGACTTGTGACATGTTTCTGCATGGATTATTAGCAAAACAACATCCTTAACATAATTCCAGACCATGAATAAAGTCCTAAGTTTTCATACTGTGTGAGATATATAAACTTTTTTCACAAAATTTACAGTACGATATTATCGATAACACAAATTTCATATCGATAATATTCAATAATGTTTCCAAGCGACGATATTTCCAATTACCGATCATTCTAGCCTGCCCTAGTCAGCTTAAACATTATGGAAAAGTAATTTGATATAGCGGATATACGTTATCTAAACACCAGGGTATTATAACGAGGTTAGCATTACAACAAGGTTGGAATTATGACCAGTGGCATTATAACAAGGTTGTACGGTAGTATAGATCAGATCAGCTTGGTGGTTAGTGAATCGCTTATCCTCGTTCCGATTGGTGTTGGTTGGTTGTTTAACGCCGCATTCAGCAATAGTCCACCTATATGGATGTGGTCTGAACTTAGTACTATGATACCATGACATGTGTCCACCAAGTCAGTAAGCCTAACCAACCGAGCCCGTTAGTCACCTTTTGCGACAGGGGCGGTGGGGTAGACTAGTGGTTAAAGCGTTGGCTCGTCACGCCGAAGACCCGGGTTCGATTCCACACATGGGCACAATGTGTGAAGCCTATTTCTGGTGTCCCCCGCCGTGATATTGCTGGAATATTGCTAAAAGCGGCGTAAAACTAAACTCAGTCAGTCAGTCCTTTTGCGACAAACATCGGTTGCTGAAGACCATTGGGGCCACTTGCACAAAGCAATCTTAGCGCTACGACTATCTTAATGTTGGATAATGGGAGTTACAATCATTGTAAGATTGCTTAGTGCAAGTGGCTCCATGTCTAACCCGGATCTGCACGAGTCCTGGGTGATGTGGGAAGACGCTTAAAATACCAAGAGCTTGTTGTTCGTTCTGGACTCAGGTCGTGTTGATACATCTGCAGTGTTGTTGATTCCGTGAAACATCAACAAAACAACCCCAAATCATTCACTAATAGAAACGCCATGTCAATAGTGAGTGAGTTAAAATTGTACAGCAATATTACAGCATACAGCGATGAAAACAAGATAATCATTTTAAAATATCTGTCGACAAAGTACAGTAAACTAGGTAGGTTTATCACAATTTTAAAATAAAACAAGCCTGGTGAAAATTATGGTAAGAAGACAGTAGATGCAATAAAATCATTCTTACCAAATAAAACCAGGCTTTAAGCCACTAACAACCAAAGTTTGACCACCTTACTGCGGATAAAGGGGACTTACAGTGATTTTACTTCCTACATGAATTCCCAGCAGGATCTATGTCTGTAGAAAACTGACACAATGTCCGTATGGATGGCTGTTTGAGTCAGCCCTTTCAGTCGAAGATACGAGGTCAAAGCGAGGAAATCAGTTTAGGCCAACCAATGTGACCATGCATAAACATGGCGCAAAATACGATGATCGTGCTTGTCTTGTTTTCGATAATCGTAACCAATAATTGGACCTGTAAACGATACATCCATGAAACTACAGCCGGTTGTTAGTCTGAAATGTGAGCTGCAGGTTTCAAATATGACTTGAGATAAATAAAAACGGATATGCTTCGATTTCTGTGAAATATTGCACTTGACCAAAAAAGCATTCGACGGGGGGAAATAATTAATACACATAACGTGAGTGAGTTACTTTTTCACATTATCATTTTTTCAGGAATAATCATTAACGACGCTAAGAAGTTATAACATTACAAAAACGTGTTATCAGAGGTGGATAAAGAAGCCCTGAAACGTCTTCCGCATGATACCAATAATTCGTGGAATTGAGGCAAACGCATTGGTTATAAACTATTAACGAACAAAGCTATACAACTGGGGAGCATGGGGATTTGCAGCATATCAGTCATAAGGGGTGTGGGGTAACCTAGTGGTTAAAATGTCCGCTCGTCACGCTGAAGACCCGGGTTCGATTCCCCACAAGGGAACAATGTGTGAAGCCCATTTGTGGTGTTCTCTGCCGTGATATTGCTGGAAAGTTGCTAAAAGCGGCGTAAAACCATTGTCACTCACTCTGTTTTCGTGTTTGTCGTCATAAATAAATTCCATCCTCTCACATACTCACTCACACAAAGGTCACTTCTTTGAGTGGCATTTTAGAAATTGGGAAGTACCATTGTGACAAATTTATAGATAACAACTGCTTTTATTTTGTCAGTGCGACGGTTTAGTATATATTCTTGAACCGTTGTCTTGAACACAACTGTAGAATCTTGCAACAATATAAAGATGTCATCCATTTGGTCTGAAAGCCAGTCCCCAAAAATTGTGAAAATATGGTGCAGTTCTGGCGACCGAATGGGACGTGGTTTTTCACAATCAGGAATATTTTAGATTTGATTTAAAAGCCGATTGTCATCAGCTACCGTGCGTGACCTCAGTACATGGGCCCTTTTAAGGTGCAACATATCATGTTTCATATTATATCGATCATGATTATATAGATCGATCGACAGATCGATTCATTCAGCTCACTGATTTAATTAATCTGTGATAATCTAGTAATTATACTGTCCTTCGCTGACAGAATTTTATAATGTATTAATATATAATATATATTCTCAGCATATGACCTTTTGTCGTCCGATATGGCTGAAGTATTGCCGATGTGACGTAAAACGATAACTCACCTGATGTCACTACTGAGTATCAGTAACACCAATGTTGTTGTCGGAGCTATTTTGCCTTTTCTCTCACTCTTTGCTACACAATTCTATGGAGGATCGAGACTGTATTTCTAGTCGTGACAATATTTTATTGAATATTTTATACCAATCGAAAAAAATATTGTTTTTAATTTTGTAGTGTTTAGTAATGCATGTTGTGCATCAATAGTTTAATGCAACAGGATTATATCGATCGACCGACCGGTCGATTCACTCAGCTGTTTCATAAATCGATTGCAATCGATTGCATGAAAAACATAATGTTTACATCGATACCACGTAGACTGCCGGAAGTTTCTTTTAAACGAAAGTTAAATAAAACATGAATATTATAGCACACATTTAACGCCTATGAACAGACTTAGCTTCACGCTTATCTGGCCCTGATCTAACGACCAAGCTTGAACATTTCACCAAAAAATTATGTCTAAACCAGGTTAGTTCAGTTAGGAGACAAATACATGTATGTGTTTCTGCAGATGTGAAACAGTTTATGTCGATTAGCAACACCTTCTGTTTCATTGCCAGGCGTCTTCCGTATCAACATTGTTAAAAGCATTTTACATCCCAAATTATTACCTACTTGGTAAGACCAGAAACACCATCCGAGCAAACCGAATGGAATTAAACAAACGAGTGACTAGCTGCATAAGCAACGGTTCAGGTCTACCACTGCCAACACCATCACAACCCTCTAGCAATTGTGTTTCGCACCCATTCCACCTTGTATCACTGTCCAACTCATGCAAGCTTGTGCCTTTATCATGGCTTACGCTTCATTCGAGGTTTCCATCACTTTGGAACCATCTGACTCGTCCGTGCATATTTTTATGTTTAAAACACTTTAATTCAAATCGGAGATACATTGCGTTTTTAATATCTTCAACCATTCTGCCAATGTACCGTCATCCAAATCGAGGTTTACGTCCTTGCCCACTATACTTTAAAACGATTCCACCCCATCCGATTCCACCCTACCCGTGAAGACCCGGATTGAAATTGGTCTTTACCAACACATGCTTGTCGTAAGAGGCGACTAACAGGATCGGGCGGTCAGACTCGCTGACTTGGTTGACATATGTCATCGTATCCCAATCGATGCTCATGATGTTGATCACTAGATTGTCTGGGCGTGATTCGATTATTTACAGACCGCTGACATATGGCTGAAAGGCGGCGTTAAACAACAATCAACATTTAGAAAGGCGGTACTTCAAAGGGGAAAGAATGGATGCCGTCGTTGCATGACGGGATTGGGTGGATAGGTTCTCTGATTTGTGTCGTTGTGTCATCGTAATCAGAATGCGTAGATCGATGTTCATGATATCGCCAATTTACTGCCGCCACCTTATAGCTGGAATATTTCTGAGTGCGGCATTAAGCAACAAACACAAATGACTCACCTGTGCAGTTCCCGAGGTTACATGGATTGGTTCTGTTGTCTGTGAGGGGCTCGACGCATAGGGTCGCGGCGAATGGCGACAGACATGTCCGGTCACGTGTGTCTGTCTGGATCCCTAGGTCACACGTGGTACTGCACGTTCCGTCCACCCATTCAGTCCACGGCGAATCTGAAAGGCAACGAACTCAAATGAGTCTCAAGTATATTTGTGAGAGAAATTCATTGGGTTTCATGACCGAAATATCACACCCTCGAATATCCGGGTTATAATTGGTCTTCAGCAACCCACGGTTGTTGTAAGAGGCAACTGACAGGATCAAGGTGCCGTAGTACAAAGCGATCTTAGCGCTAAGGTGACCGTAACTACCATACCTTAACATAGACAACAGCACCCTGGTCAGGTTTGCTGACTTGCTTGACACATGTTATCGCATACCAAATCGATCGATGTTCATGATGTTGATCACAGACTCCATGATTTACAGACCGCCGCCATGTAGCTGGAATATTGTTGAGTGCGGCAACAAACGACATAATAACGCAAACTAATAAAAATTATTTTGCCTATTGCAGTACTAATACACCATTTCCTCTGTAAGTCGAAACTCGCCCGGACAAACCGATGGTTGATGTCATCATCAATGTCCCGCCGTCCCAAATCACAAGCCTAAACAACCTGTCTATAGTCCGTTTGGCTCAAAAGCGGAGAGATGACTTGCAATCGAACTCGAAAACTAATAAACATAAAATACTCAATGAAATGCTGATCATAATCAAAACATCAGACCAACTCTGTGAGGTTTTTGCAGAATTTTTGTCCTACAAATAAAAACGTTGTTTAACAATTTATCATTAAAATATTGACACAGTTCACTGTTTGTTACGAGGGAGGAGTGCAGAGAAAGGGACAGCCAGGTGTTCGAGAACGGATGGAGACGGCAAAGCACAGGTTAATGAATAAATAAATTTGTCTGTGAACGTGCTTCTCGAACACCTGGCTGTCCCTTTCTCTGCACTCCTCCCTCGTAACAAAGAACGTTTAAAGGCACTATATCTCACCACACTTCTCTAAAAATAACTAATGCATTTCTCTCAATAATTTTAAGTATCGGCCCTCACGGAAGCTACCATATAATTTATTCCAAAAAAGGTATTTAGATTACAGTACAAAATCAAAAAGTTCGAATGAATTATTGCAACGTTGCATTAAATCAACTCCGGCGCCCTCTACCAAACGAACATTATATAAAGTGAATCCTATAGAGTTATGTCCCTTGGAGCGCTTTTTACGAATACCCAATGCATAACTTGTGATTGAAACCAGTTCGGCAAACACCGAGAACACCGCTTGCGACAGTTTTCGATGTACGGAGCAATTGTTTACATTCCATATATGGCAAGTGTTCTCTGTTTGTGAGCTGTTCGCCTCGAAGTTTCAATTATTGCATCAATAGGGAGCTAAAGTGAGTGCATATGTCCCAATACATATAATATAGGTCAAAATGTTGTCGAAAATGTGTGACATTGTGCCTTAAAGAATGTTGTATTCGATACCAACAATGGTGTGTTCAGTCACGAGTACTCAAACGGCGAGATAATCCAGCCTGTAACGGCGCCAAAGGGACGAGTTTGGGCTGGGCTGGGTAACCAGGATACCTTGGGTGGGTAAAGAGTTGGATCCGGGTATCCATCGCATTACCCGGACCCGCTTTGATCACGTGGATAATAAACGAAGACTTAATTGAATGTGTCTGTTATTATTTCAATACACGAGATTGTCGTCTTATGTTTGGGGCGGTGGGGTAGTCTAGTGGTTAAAGCGTTGGCTCGTCACGCCGAAGACCCGGGTTCAAATTCCCACATGGGTACAATGAGTGAAGCCCATTTCTGGTGTCCCCCACCGTGATATTGCTGGAATATTGCTAAAAGCGGCGTAAAACCAAACTCAGTCAGTCAGTCAGTCAGTTTTGGGATTATGGACAAAACTTGCACTGAAAACTCACGCGATATCAACTGTCGCCAACTAAACATGTCACGTGTAACATAATTTGCATGTAAAAGATTGAGGAAACGCAGACATCCGCCTCAATTAGTGTTATAACAGGTACCCGGGTCGGGTTCGGTAATAGGAGGTCGGGTACCCGGGTAGGAAATTTGGACCAATCCCAGCCCTAGGACGAGTGTACCCGTGCTCACATTACGAGAATGAAAAGGGTACAATCACACTCCGGCACAGCGATGACTTAACATAATATCACTGCCACAGGATAATTTGCATATCACGTGACCGGACTTTTCTCTTGTTTGTAATCTAACGCGCATATTCATAATAAGAAGAGACTGGACTCACGAAAGCTTTTCGGCGCACACTTCATATTGTTTTACATTGTTCCACAACTTCGACGGTTAGGTCTATGACACTACATATTTAGATATCAAACTGGCTGCATCGTTTGCTCTCCGTCGGCTTCGATGACTGCACGTGGAGCCGTACAACCTATGTAAACAAAGGATCGCTACGCAAATCGAAATAGTGTAACATATTTTTGGATATTTTCTCAGTGAAACTAAACCATTCTATTAAAGATGTTTAGTTAGATGTGTAGACAAAAAAATTCGTCAAAAAAAAAAAAGGGTAAAAGAAATCTGTACATTATATTGAATGGACACTGCAAGATGTGACGAATCGTCACATTTTTCTGGCCTGTTGCAGAGGTACTATGCTGGCTTGCAGCATGGAACTCTGGGTAGGAGACCGGGGTACAATACATGCTCAAAGTATGTCCGTTGCTTTGTGGATACGTTATCAAATGTTAATCAAATGTCAGTTGCTATGGAGACGAAGACTTACAGACATCATCATCCTGGATGTTGATAAGCACGTTACCGTCAGGCCCAACGTCCGCCCCGGTCAGCATGAAGCGGAACTGTTCAGTTGACTCCATAAGCTGCAAGGAGAATTGAACCAAAACCTGTGACAAATCGAAGAATTAGAACACCCTTAGATTTAGCCCTATTAGTTAGGGATAGAATGATTTAACGCCACAGTCAGCAATATGTCCCGTATGCCACGGCATCCCTTGAGCTTTCTGATGATTAAGGGAAAGTTTTAAAAAATTCATATTTTGATTTTGATTCTGAGTCTGATTATGGAAGGAGGTTGACACATTCTTAATATAATCGTTGTTGTGGTGGTATCTTCATCGGTAGGACTGGTAGTAGATGTCAATCCTCCTCCTCCCCTTTGTCGTTGTCGTCATCATCATCATCATCATCATCATCATCATCTATGTCATTGAGACTTGAGAAACAGTGGTTTTGTATTACGATTATTTTGAAATTAGTCGATATAATATACAGCAGTCTATGGTAAATATACACAAAGAATTTAGTTAAGCAACCCCTGGCATATCTCATGATTGAATGAGCCCAGATCTGAACCCTTTGGGGCATATCTTGGGACATGACTGGTCATTGTGTGCAACAAAGGGATCCTCCTGTACAGAACCTGGTCCAGCTGGAAGCTGCTTTACACGAGGAATGGACCCGTGAAGATCCGGATTAGAATTGATCTTCGGTAACACGTGCTTGTCGTAAGAGGCGACTAATGGGATTGGGTGGTCATGCTCGCTGACTTGGTTGACACATCGATCAGTGCTCATGCTGTTGATGACTGGACTGTTTGGTCCAGACTCGATTATTTACAGACCACCAAAATATTGTTGGGTGTGGCGTAAAACTAAACTCACTCACTCACATCAAACAAGCACCGACTGGAATCAGCCTTTGTGATTTTAAGTCAAATCAGTTTTTCAGGTGAAAAAAGACCCACACCAAGCAACTACACCAGGAATGGCGTAGCCTGCCCATGGGTCAGGAGGCTGACAGGGGTATGAGGAGGAGTGTGCTGGCTGTCATACAGTCACATGAATCGTGCAAGACACGCAAAATGACATTTTGAACATTCACATTCACCAATTAATTCAAAATTAAACATTCCAAGGCCATACTTGTACAGGCATGGTTTTATATGAAAATCAGTGGGGGTTTTAAATGAGCAATTATCATAATAAAATCAAGGGGAAAAGTAACTGGGCCGCTAAAATCAAACATATTCTCTACATGTATGGATTTGGCTATCTTTGGGAGGAACAATGTGTAGTTGGTGTTAGAAATTATATGTCGGTGTTTGTATACAGACTTAAAGTATCTTATGAGCAAGATTGGCCCTCGATAGCAGCATTAAATTCAACCTATATTTCGTTTAAATCATCATTTGGCTTAGAATTGTATATCAAAGAACTCACTATTTCAAATTTCAGGGCTGCGTTTGCTCAATTTAGATGTTTTTCACACCGGCCTCGAATTGAAACTGGCAGATATGCTAACGAAACTAAAGATGATAGATTATGTCTTGTATGCCAAGAACGATATACTGAAGACGAATACCATTTTTTTATTAGTATGTAATGTATACCAAGATCTAAGGTCTTTACTTTTGCCAAAGAAATACTATTTGAATCCTACTGTACATAAATTTAACATGTTAATGTCAGAGATAAATCCAGAAACTTAAAAAAATCTAGCATTGTATGTATATAAAGCTATGCGTCTTAGACAGTCATTTGTACATATTGTTACATAACCGAACCGTATGTTATTGTTTATATTGTATATTGTATATACTCTCTCATAGTCAATTGTAAATGTAGAATGGGCCTGTGGCCTCCACTACAAGAAATAAAGATTGATTGATTGATTGATTGATTGATTGATTGATTGATATGAGTCAAAGGGTCATACGAATCAGAAAAACTTATGTTTTTCCATCATGGTCACCACGATAAGTTCTATGTACGTGTTGAAAACCTATCATTGCAAAAATACAGGGGGTGCTTAAATAAGTTCTCTGTGAATATTTTGTGGCAAATGAAGTCATACACAGATACTTGAATGATACACAGAAGCTGTGTATGATGATGAAGAATGGGGTTGCTAAACGCTTTTTAAGGTGTACATTACGAGATTATCTAACTTACTGCTGAGGGTTTCTAGGACTTCAGTCCTGCCCCAAAACGAAGCACATGTGATGCATGTGGTCTCACCTTAAGCAAGTGCGTTTGTTCAAAATTCCCTCTGTCCACCCTGCAGAAAATGGGTACCCGGTGGGATAAAGTCATGTGACTAAAACCTTCTAGCGCCTAACAGGCAGCTTGGGTTAGCCGTGGTAATAGTATGTTATGTGCTTTGAGCATACCTTCATGGAGACGGCTCAGTATTAATGTCATTATGTTTTACAGACTAAAAATATAATGGTATGCAGCAGAGAGGGTTCGGGTGATCCTGGCAGTCAGGCTGGTAAGGCTCGTCATCACCCTCTTCACGCAGCCCAGACAGTAAATGGGACTTCTCCAAGGAAACGATGCCAAGTCTAACCCACCAAGAACTTTCCGGAGAATATGACTCCCCAACACTCCAACCTCCTACATTACCCAGAATGTCAGAAGGGCTGTACTCCCGGTGGAGAAACCGTGCACTCTCCTGATCTGCACTAAGAGATCAGGAGGTACCAAACCAAGGGCACCGATGGGGAGAGTGACGACAGTGTACTTGGGATGCAAGCGAGACATTTCAAAGGCGAGGTCAGCATACATAGCATACTTTTCCTGACTCTTGTCAATTACGTTGCTGTCGAAAGGGTCAGAAAATTCAATGATATTAATAAATTTATGGTTTTATCAAAAACGACAAGATCAAGTATGTTGAGAATTCTTCTGAGGCCGTATAGGGGCCCATTCCAAAGAAGTTTAAAAGCACCATTTTGCATGACACCCTAGACATGTTCAGGGTCGTTCCATGGAAGGAGCTCGTTTAAGGCATGCTGTTTGTACCAAGGAAGGGCATCCACTGACAGGGTTTTTATTTTTACTCCTAAAAATCATAAAGCCAGCCAGGTGTTCGAGAAGCACGTTCACAGACAAAGTTATTTATTCATTAACCTGTGCTGTGCCGTCTCCATCCGTTCTCGAACACCTGGCTGTCCCTTTCTCTGCACTCCTCCCTCGTAACAAATACTGAACTGTGTCAATATTTTAATGATAGATTGTTAAACAACTTTTTAATTTTTAGGATAAAAATTCTGCAAAAACCTCACAGAGTTGGTCTGATGTTTTGATTATGATCAGCGTTTCATTGAGTATTTTATGTTTATTAGTTTTCGAGTTCGATTGCAATTCATCTCTCCGCTTTTGAGCCAAACGGACTATAGTCCAGATGAGCCATAGTCTGTATCAACAAAAGTCCAAATGTCAGGCCAATATCATTAGAAATATTATTATATTACGAGTTTTTCGTTTACATAAAAAAACTTTCCTAAAGGTATGTTTCTCTTTTGATGTTCTAAAATTAAATGACGAGTTGAGTTTATACGCCCGTTTTGACATGACCTCTCACCACATCATTGGTTATGGGTATGTCAAGAGAGGCAGTTGTGTCCCCGTCGTTCATGGTGATGGTCCCAGTGCTGCTCCCGCCATAATCTGCAGTCGTTGCTGTTAGAGGAAATATGGTGTATGTGGCTGTTATGGTGCCGGAAGTGCCTTGTTTACGAGTGAAGGTCAAGGTCAGTGGACCCTCGTTTTCGATAATTAGCGGCGGCGAGTCAAGGCATATGATACCACCTGAAATAGATATGAAATGCAAATTGTAGGGAAAGGGTCCTTTTTTAGGAAAAGCGAACACATAATGGCTTAATTGTCTAGTCACAGCTATGTGCAAAGGTTCTAGAAAGGTTATGAAATGGTGGTTCAAAAAGATTTCAGGCCTCACTTGAACACACAGTTGTTCTGCTCATACGAATGATGTTGAAATATTTCAGTTACATCATTACAATATTTTGAAAATATCATTAGGAAATAATGGTGGATGTTTAAAATGGCTGATCTATGGAATGTTAGAGAAACTGTAACATTCGTAAAGAATATTTACAATAACTCATCGACAGAGCAGGTTTTTTAATTTTTATATTTATTTATTTTTATTTTTTTTGGGGGGGGTTTAATGCAGATGCAAATACTAATACAAATGAAAAATCTTCTATTGTCACAAACAGAAAAATATGAGTTTTTTCCAAATGTGTTGAAAAAGGTCCTCTTTGACACATTTGATTCAGCATATTTCTGTCCTGTGGCGTCATGTGTCGTTAGTGACTGCATCAACATACATGCCGCTATCTAGTTTGTCAGGAGAGAGTGAGGATTGTTTTATGGCGCATTGAGCAATATTTCCACCAACTCACGTCGGGTGCTGAGAAATGGAGTGAAAAGGAACGGACAATAGACTCACTTTGTGCGAGAGTTCCTTGTAGGAATAACGACAGAAGCACAAAGGCCGGCAGGAGGGTTGAAACTGACATCTCTGAAAATACAACTGGTTTTGTCTGTATAAGTCTTAAATTGATGAAACGAGCACAATTAGGCGCCAAATATGTTGGAGCAAGTAGTTGAGAATTTTTGCACGAGACAATAGTCGAGGATACTGTTTTGAGAAGACTGATATCGTTTTCCTTTCATCTACAGTTCAGTAATCAAGGTCAGTAGACTGGGTTTGGATAAAACCAAAATTGTGATCTTTTCAAAAGGCAATGTAAAGATCAAATCCAGGTTTCAACTTTTTGATGAGGAAATTGAAGTGTCCGAGAATATCTATACTTGGGAATTCTATTTAACGGCAATGGTAAGTTTGCTAAAGCAATTAAGAGACTTGTAGAACAAGCACCAAGGGCGATGTTTCCTGCTTTTAAAACTATTAGGGAAGTTGAAATCCCAATTGACTGTCAACTGAAACGTTTTGATCCAATTTTATTATATGGGTCAGAAGTTAGGGGGTATGAAAATGCAACTATTTTAGAAAGAACGCATATGAAATTCTGTAAGTATATACTTAAGGTAAGACAATCTACTCCAAATTTTATGGTTTATGGGGAACTCGGTAGATATCCTATTGAAGTAATGATTAGAACAAGAATCATAAGTTACTGGTGTAAAGTCATTACATCAACACACAAGTTACCTCATATATTGTATAATGTAATGGCTAATGTGTCGACTTGTTTGGGTATTCAATTTGATCTTTTAAATGTAGTGAAAGGTATACTTCAAAATGTTGGGTTATCTTAGTTTGTAAGGATGAGTGTCATTGTGAATGAACGTGAGTTGTACGGATGCAATTTGAGGGAATGTGAATCCCAATTTTAATCCTTTTCAAACAGGATTCTGGATTCAGTACCAAAGTTTTCCTTCCGCATCCTGGCTGAAAAACTATGTTAAATACACACTCATAGATCAGTTTAAGCAATCATGGAATGCTGACCTTCAAAATTCATTAAAAGGTAAATATTACTCCTTGTATAAGCATACTTCCAACTTAGAACCTTATTTAATCAGCCTCCCATTGAAACAACGTATCTGGTTAACAAAACTGCGAACATGCAATCACAGATTACCGATGGAAACCGGCAGATGGTATAATATAGACACAGAAAATAGAATATGTACAATTTGTAACCACCATGTTATATGTGGCGAATTTCATATTATCTTATCATGCAGAGCTCTAGATGATGTAAGAAAAAGTATACTCCCTAGATATTTTTGTAATAACCCCCATATTGATAAATTTATTTCCCTTATGAAATCTGACTATCATCCTTTGGTACAGAAACTTTCAAATTTAATGAAAATTGTATTATCCCTGTTTTAGTTGTATATTTGTATTATATTCATACGCATATAAGCCAACGTGGCACTTTGTATTTATCAAAATATATGTATGTTCTCTATACCATTTTGTATGATTAATGAGAATATAAAATCCTGAATCCTAAATCCTGTTTGGAAAGGATTAAAATTGGGTTTCACATTCCCTCAAATTGCATCCTTACAACTCACGTTCATTCACAATGACACTCATCCTTACAAACTGGCATTGGTATAACCTCACATTTATGACACACAATATCACACAGTCACATTTAAAAGATGCCCATCCTCTGTGGTCGAGTGGATTGAGAGTTTATCCTGAGTGAGGTAGGTCGGTGTTCGTATCCACGGTAAGTGGTACCAAAAAACACCTTCAACGATAGTAGGTGTGGCGGTCGGAATGAAAGGATGAGACAGGAAATTTTCAGCTCGTTGTCGGTTACACTGCGGTAGTGAGCTAGCAATACAAAACGGTATATTACAACCTCACATTTATGATGTTCCCCTTCACAATCTCGTTAAACATCGGCGTTAAACAACAAACAAACAAATTAACGGCATCGCATCACATTTACAATCAAATATTTACATTGAAAACCCCGCATTTACTTATACGAACTTCCTTACAACCTCACATTTACAATGATGTTCTCCTTCACAATTCACAATTACAGCAACGCTCTTCCTCAATGATACGCATTAATGGCCATAATCATATCACTCTCACAATGACGCTCTTTTTTACATGTAGTAATTAATACGAACCGCGCATTTACATTTATCACATTTACAGTGATATTCTGAGTGAGTGAGTGAGTGATTGAGTAAGTGAGTGTAGTTTTACACGGCTTTTAGCAATATTTCAGCAATACCACGGCGGGGGACACCAAAAATGGGTTTTACACATTGTACCCATGTAAGGAATCGAACCCGGGCCTTCGGCGAACGCTTTAACCACCAGGCTACCCATCGCCCCGTGATATTATGATTCAATCACTATCACCACAATGTACACTTCCGATTAGGCCAGTAAACATAATCTAACATTCACAATTATGCCACTTCATATATATGATGACATAACTCTTCCTCACAATTAGCAACCTCACGCTCCTTACAGCATCCATAAAACTGCTCGCGCATGCCTTTACACCTATCCCGTCTCACATCCACATAACGTCACATCAATGAAACATCTACATCAGGACACATTTTTGCAGAGTTCAGTCCCTTGGTAGTGTAAGGATCCACTGATCGGATTCCAGTTCCTGATTCTGCCCTGTGTAGATTTCATTGTACTGACACGTCAAATCAAAGCGGTTTTAACCAAACTCACATCATATATATTGAACTTGTAATATTTTTTCTTTAGTAATTTGTCATTTGACCAAAACATAGATAAAAATCACAAATTCTGGACGAATTTACGGATGTTGAACGACTATACAATTATAAAACTAAAATTCGAAAAAACACCTGGAGTTATTGTAATGAACTTTAATGAATAAAAATTCAGGCTCTGTTTTGGTTCTTTTGAAAATAGACTTGAATAATATATTAGGTAAGATATGTTGTTATTCTTACCTGCACGGAGCAGCGACGTCGCAGTCAAACTATTTAAAAGTGATCAAAGGTCGGAACACAAGCGTTTAAATGTATGATCATGCAATTGGTCGATTCGGGCGGATAGACACCTGAGCCAAGTATTGATTGTTTAATTGAGTGAATCTCCCAGATCATTTATCAGTATTAAAATGTAATCTCAAAGAAATAAATCGTGCTGCTGTCACTATCGAAATACGTGTATCGAAACAGGTGTTCAGTGCAAACGGATATTCCATGTTTTGCTTTTCAAATAAACTGAAGTATAACGTTTACACTTGAAAAACTGATTTGACTAAAAAGTTACAAAGGCTGATTCCAGTCGGTGCTTGTTGATATGAAGGCAGTAACATCGACTATGGGTCTATGGCACTCGCATTTATTACACAAACATCGAATAACCATTTCCTGTTTGTTTACAGTTAAGCTACCATGCAACAAACACTTTTTTTATTTTTGCTTTCGTTTGTCCGGCATGTAAAGAGAAAGTATGTTTGTTTAGTATGTTTCCTAATTAAACGATTATCGGGTTAATGATACATGGGACCAGGATTCGTTCGTTCGTTCGTTCGTTATTTCGTTCGTTCGTTCGTTTGTTTAATAATTAAGCCTGGATCTGAACTTTCATCTCATTCTTAAAACAGGTAAACAGTAGCAATTAGACGACCCAGGCATAGTCAGGGTTGAGTGACTTTGCTTGTTAGACGAAGTAGGCATGTGGACCAGTCCATTTCAAACTTAACAGGGGTGCTACCACAAAATAAGAACAAAGACAACATAAATATATTTCATCGTACATTTTTATTATTTATTATTTTACTGAACTTATTTGCATATATATCTCACACATATATAACATTCACAAATATATAGAAATATATTTTATCATGTATTTTTACTTATATTATAGTTAGTTGCACAAACATCTGCAACTTATAACCACACACACACATATATACAAATCATATATATTTCATAATTCAAAAAATATACATAAATATATTTTATCATATATTGACTTGTATTACAGTTGCACCTTATTTATCTTATCACCACTTTTCACATGTAGATATTATATCACCACATCATATCAGGCATACTCTCCTAGAAGGTGGGAGACTATATCTGTATAGTCAATTACAGAGACTTCATTGCTTAAAAGTTCGTCTTTTGCACGACGAAGACCTTCGTCAACTGCCACATACTGTCGGCGTCTTGATGGTTTACGTCTGTTTCCTCTCTGCTGTGCAAGTTTCACCTTAGTTGTAGACTGTTCCCTCTTGATGAGCTGAATGAAATCAAATATATTCGGGTGGCATGGGGTGAGGGAGTTGATCTTGTTGTGCCAACCTTCAATGTTGTTGTTTGTTCTGTGTCCATCATTAGCAAAGTGGTTCCAGGTCATTTGGTCCCAGGCTCCCTCAATCCATGTTGTTGTCACATAGTCCATAAACTTGACACAGGCCTCTCCCCCGGGACTTTCACTGATAGCCTCTTGCCACACATTTTCGACTTGGTCTAGGGGGACTAAGGGAAGGGCTATAGCTCTGCTCACCAGTTGATAAAAATCTCCTTATACGTTGCTGCAAGTCCGAGATTTTGAATCTTCCTCTATAGTGCCGGGGCGTAGTGAAAGTAGCATCCACGCATCTCAACACCATCAAACACAGAAGTTGCAGCATTAGCAGCTGCCATTTCGAAGTCTATCTGGAACACATCCGGTTTCAAGTTGAAGCGGTGAGTCTCGGCTTCTTCTTTGATAATTTGGAATGCTGTGCTGTACGTGTTCTGACTCTTGTCTGGCAGGATGCAATACACGAGAGGATACATGTGGCCCTGGATCTCTGCATGTAGGGTGTAGTTTTGTGCAAACATGCGTGGTAAATAAAATGTCCCATCGGCATGAATGATGTCTGCATCACAGAGATATTCTAGGTTGGATGTTGTGGAAAATATCAAAATTCGCTTGTTAACCCCTTGGTCAGCTATCAGGAACCGGTCCCCTGCATCTGTAGTTGTCCAGTCTCTCTCCAGTTGAAAGTCAGCTTGTGCCTTTGGCAGCTTTGGTAGATTCTTGCGACGCTCTCTGTACATAGATGTCCTCATTGTGTCGAAGTGGGGGATGTTTTGCAGTAGTTCCTCACAGTCTTGATCCTTCCTGAGCTCAGCTAGTTCATCTCCATAGATCCGGGGTACTGGAGTGGTTTCTGAAAGGGATCGCTGAAGCAGCTTTATCTTGAAAGAATCCACATCATGGGCATGAGGGGTCGCTGGGTGGCAGTGTGGAGTTACACCAATAATCACGAGCAAATCATTCCTGGTCTGCAGTGTCGCCTTGCATGTCCTGTTTATGCACCTCCTCCATACATCTGGTCAGTCTTCTCTCTGTTCTTGGAGTAGTTGTAGCCTGCATGATATGCGCATCTTCCGCCATGAAGGTTAGGGAGGAAAGATAACTGAACTATTGCATTCGCCATAATTAATCAAAGTACTGGTCAAGTCAAGACACATGATTTTTATACTGAACGTAGTCTGTTAGCACTCTACACTTGAAACTATTTTTATGTTCGTCTATACTCCAACTAGAATCTCCATGTATTTAGTTACTTAATTAACTTGCATTTCCTGATTAGAAGAATAACTTTCATTAATCTTATTACTAAGTGTTTGAAAATAAACTTACTGCTTGTAATCTCTGTATTGTCAGATCACTTGGACATATCTTAATTGATAAACCCCTATTATTATTAGTATGCATCTTGAGACCCCGAAGATCTCCAATAGCCTCCCCCAAACAGATTTTACCGGTCAGTAACTCCACGGCTCACACTGTCCCATGGAGAAATCACTCATGCGTGGTTAGACAATCCAGGTATAGTCAGAGCCTAAAAATTAGACGAACCAGGTTGTAATCCATTCCGCATTGCTGCGACAACCACGGATGGTCATCCATGGTGTACACACTGTAAATTCAGACAGACAGGCACACACGCACTCACACACAGTAACTAAAACACATACACACGCACGTATACACGCACGCACACTGAAGGTTTTGATAACGTTTGTAATATTTATTCTCGAATCTAACTTTAACCAACGGACTTTCTTCTGTGCAGCTGCTTACATATGTAAATGGATACCCTAGGTTACGACGACCCAGCTACAGTTCACAATACCTATATACGGTATACAATTTACCGACAGCTTGTCAAACAAAGTACGTTAGTGGAGGTTTAACCTTTGGCAAGAATATCGACAGTTTCAGATTTATTGACATGTCGCCTTGTCACATTAAGCTGACATGTTATACTCGGACTTTCGAATCCGACGGCCATTTTGTTCATCAATATATTTTTTGCTTTATAAAAGTATAAGCGACCTGAAATTGTGTCGTACAGTTGTAAGTTTGATTTAAAAAATTAGAAAAATAGAAAGTAAAGCACACTTCGTCCATTCCACGTGTGACAGACATGATGATTGCCATTACGAGTTCAACAAGGATAGCGTAAGGCGGCTTGGGATACGTTCTCATGTAACATATACTGAGGGAAAAAAAGAAGGGATCACATGAAAGGGCAAGTGTTCCTGTATTTTTTCCAGGTTTCTTCACAAGCTTGGTATCACATAGCTTGTGAAGAAACCTTGAAAAAAGTAATGGAACACTTGTGCTTTCTTGTGATCCCTTATTTTTTTCCCTCAGTATATATGGTAGATTCGGGATTACACTTTCACAGCAAACAACAGTTTCTAGCACTCTTTGAGTTGGGACACATCCGGGTTACGAACCCGAACTCTCAGTGTGAAGCGCCTTATAGACAATTTACGAAGACCGCGATCTAACCCTCCCAGTTATCGAGACTTCTACAGAAATGGAGATTTGAAGACTGTAGTTTACATCAGTGCTGTATGTAGCCCTCTGGTAAGCGCAAATTGACACGGCTCCCACGGCCGAGAGTTATGAGTGCATAATGCTATAAATAAAGTGGTCAAATGTAACATATGTAACATATATTACATTTGGAAATATTGTTTGCTTGAACATACATTTTATTCAATGTAGAAATGGATTGCAATTGGGCACAAGTTATATAACGTATTACCGCCCGCTCCCATCAGAAACATGAACAATAATGAATAGACGTAATGAATGGACATAATAATATTAAGACATATTATTCATCAATCGAAGTGCTTACTTCGTACAATGTATTTATGCACATGTCTAAAGATATTTTCATTAATAGTATTTGGCAGAGCAGGGTTGCCGTAAAGAATGGTATCAATGTCTAAGTGAACTTTTGATAGTTCAAAGTCTTGCTTCAGATCAAAACGGCAGCTGACAAATTTTGGACACTTTAAAAAGAAATGGTTAGCATCTTCCACCGGAGCGCCACAATTGCAAGCTCTACTCTCTGATAGACTAACAAGAAACAGATCTGCATGCAATAAAGTACACGAATGTCTTAACTTCGTGTATAGCATATTTGTCTTTCTTTCACCAAATAGAAAGAATTTGGGAACCTTGTCATTTTTTCCAGATAACTTTGATTTAAACGAAGATAATGAATTTGTACATAGGAATTATTTCTTCTTAGTAAAGTACAGAATGTTGCACTTTAGGGGAGCCCCTTACTTAAGTAAGTACTAGAATTTTTACTTTATTGAGAAAGCGTAAATAAATTACATATGACCCATCCTCGATAATCTCCAGGGTATATGTTCCGATAAATCTCCACTAGTGAGTGAGTGAGTGAGTGAGTTTAGTTTTACGTCGCTTTTAGCAATATTCCAGCAATATCACGGCAGGGGACACCAGAAATGGGTTATACTCGCTGTGCCCATATGGGGAATCGAGCCCGGGTCTTCGGCATGACGAGCGAACGCTTTAACCACAAGGCTACCCCGTTGCCCCTTCCACTAGTGGATGTATCGGAACGTATACCCTGGAGATTATTGAGGATGCATTTGACCATGCACTTTCTAAGTGGCATTGTGAATTCATACATTCACATGGTTCGGATTCAACAGCATCGATGAATGCATGGTCTGATTAGGGACTGACCATTTGACAATGTTCCAGAAAATACACCATGCACAAAATACATGTGATACATCCATGGTACACGCTTTAGAAAATGAATAACTGGAAAATTAGTACTTTTCATTTACACTGAAATGCGATGCCAGTTTTATTAAACACGCAGGTTATTGGCTGAACAGAGGTGGATAAGTGTATAGTTTTATGTATATAAGGGACGATGTATGCTGCCTCGAAATAATAGGAGTATCAGGGTCAACCATGAACGTACGGAGAGATCAACAGATTACACGGCGAAGGGTAATGATGTGGGTGGAAATCTCCCACACTGGTAAAACAAAACTGGTGCAAATGCTGAGAAACCGAATTCAATTTTAAGGAAATCCTAGAGCACAGGTTCTAATGCAAATTTATGATGCAAACAAGCATCTTCCATTGGCACAGCGCTGAAACTGATGACAGTGCTGATGCTCGTGTAAGCACAGCTTTCTTACCGAAGCACAATGTAAGGGTCCGCATGTTTGAAGTCGACAGAACGTCTGTAAGAAGAGATGGATCGCAGCATACGACCTTAGCATTCCCAAACCCAGCTTAAACATACACAATATGCCAAGCCCCCCTTGACGTTGCTGGTTAGAGTTGATCATCAGCAATCCGTGCGTGCCTCCCTCCTCGATGTTCGGGATTAGTGTTGATCATCAGCAACCCATGCGTGTCGCCATCTGCGAAGTTCAGGATTAGAGTTGGTCATTCTATAATTCTATTCTGTATATATTATTTCGGTAATAAATGAATGATCCCGGCGGATCTCAATCAAAATTGAAATACTATTTGTGTTAAAAATGTTTGCAGTAATTATTACAAACATATTTACCGGGTATATTTTTCGTTTATTTAAAACAATCAAAATGTAGTTTTATTTGCTATCAACAACTCTTGTAACTGTACATCACGCCAGAAACACCTATAATCTAACTGTAAGCAGTATTCTTATAGATTAACACCAAGCAGGTGAACTAATAGTGTGTGTTTTTTCTCAAAATTACATCTTAATTAAGTAATCATAACGAATTTATGGTGACTTGAAATATATCATATGAATGTATACTAATTTTTCTAATATGTTATTTTCTTCGTATCAAATTGTAATAAATATTTCGTGAATTATAAATATTTGTTCATATAGAGATGATTTTGTAGATTATAACCAAAATAACAAAAAGCGTATATATGTGTGGCCGTTTTCTTCAATGAGATCTGTGCTTACTGAGACTTGAACTTGCAACAGACATGAAGACCACACAACCAGTTCAACACTGTAGGGAAATTAGAGTGACGTCCCTTGAATGGCAGAGTTGTAGTGACGGCGCACTCTGTAGAAGAAAAAAATACATCGATGGAAATTTCTGAGACTGAAAATGAGCAGTTCAAAGGAAGATTTAAAGCAAATTATATCTAGCCTTTCTAGCGCTTCGTCTAGCAAGGTTTACAATGCCCTCGTTCATGTAAGAACGAAGGCGATAAAATCGCAAACGATTCTGAAAAAGATTCTGTCACAAGGATTGATTCCACAAATCCTGAAAATCCTGGACAATGCAGACACAACAGAGAAGAAACCGAAAATTGCCGATATTGCCCTTAGTATCCTCGGCAACCTTTGCATGGAACCAGACACCAGGAACGATGTGAGAATTTCTGTAGTGTTGTTAGCGACCGCAGCCGCCGCTAGGGGCGCTAGTGTCGTTATTTTTAGAATTGCGGACGATTTTGGGTCACGGACAGGCCGACGTTTAAGGTCCAAGTACGCATATTTTGACCAAATGTATGCGATTTTTTTTTATGGTGTCGCGTCGTACACATGTTCAAGTGCGCGTATTTCGCAAAACTAGCATCTGACCACGAAAGATGAAAAAACGACGGTAAGTTGAACTTTGCTCTTTTTTAAACGTATGCCAAATATTGTAAAAATATTTATTTTCTTGAAGTATGGGCAAATACGCTTAATATAATCATTACTGTACATGCACAAAAAGTTTGGTATTTTTTAGGAAGCATATAACTTATTGAAATGAGACCTTAAACTTTTCTTGTGTCATTGCCGCGAATCGCGTACCTTGGTCATTTAGAGTTATCTGCTCCTGACATGAAGCAGGTAAAGTCGACGCAGATATTCAGCTATTTTTTCACAACGAAAGTTTTTATAACTAACGTCTTTGTATATCACGTTTCCTGGATTCTCCTGATCATAGAACATTTTTATTGTTGTGGTTATATCGTATTTGAGCAAGAACAGGAAGTTGTCACTCTTTTTGTGTTTACAAATTGCAATTTAGTAACCATGGTAACATGATTAAGATATTTTTCAAACTATATGCATGTAAACAATCCCCGTGTCTTAGCAAAGACAAGGCTCATTACATGTTCATTTTAGTGTGTTGAAATAGTGGTAACACTTGTGTGTATAAAAATGTGTTTTACTGTGTTCACTTAAAGCTGACTTTTATATTTATTGAAAACCAGATTGAATGTATGATCATGATGATGGAAGGATCATTAATAAATTGTGAAATGTTATGTATTGCATAGAGGTTTAGTATTTAAACCGAGATTTATCTACATAAAAATTAATGAAAGCGTTTTTAATAAATGGTTACTGCATGTATGAAAATTTCATTTTTTTATATACAAACAAAAACTGAACAAAAATTAAGTGATAGCCATTTATTGTAGGGTAATGGGATGGGGGCATGTATGTTTAATGTCAGATGACAATTGAATCTTTAAAGAGTTAATCTTCTCTTATGTGCTTTAGGTTTTTTCTGAACTGTCAAGTGTTTGGCTGCTAAGAATGCACATATATTAATGTATTATATTACATACATATGTTATATATTGTATTGAACTTCGTTGTGTTTTAGAGATTCCTGCTACAAGGGTTGAAGAATGCCTCATCTCGAAGAAAATACTGTGGAAGATAAATATGAGAACTTGTTATGACTGTCTATGATAACATGTCAATAACCTATTCACAATTAATACTGGGAATTGGTTAAATCTCATAATTGATGATTGATTCATTACAACCGATCAATCATCGAAAATAATTGGTTTTCGCCATTTATCAAATCTTCCTGACTGTGTGCTTTAATGTTTTAATGCACAAAAATCTAGAAAAACATGTAGTTCTTTGGGTTTATTTTGTACATTGCACAGAATTCAATCATGATGAGGAACGAACTTGTAGTGCTTATGAAATGTAACAGACAAAACCAACCTTGTGAAAAATATTGTTAATGCAAACAAGTGTTCCAGAATTGTTTGTGTTAAGCTTCTGAGAAAACATCATCAATTGCTTGATTGCGTTTAGCCATTGCAACCAATCTTTGATTATTTCAATTAATCGGACCACCACAATTCACAATCGTGAAAAGATACATTTAAAAGCTCCGTTATGGTGTCGTAAAATGCATATATCTAGTAAGGAAAATGAAGAATTTTTTAGAATCGGTGTCTTTTCTCTCTCTCTTCTCTCTCTCTCTCAATTTATTACATATAATATGCAACACATGACTAATGTGGCAACTGTTGAAAGTATGTAATCTGACTCCTCTCCACGTGGAGTCGTGAGGGATTGTAAAATCGTGGTACCTACTGACATAGTAAAATATTTTTACAAAGAATTGCTATGACTGTTTATGATAACATGTATTACAAAGTGTAGCTAGATACTGGAAACACATGGGTTTGAAGAACACAGCAAATGACACAATGCATCAAGATAAAATTCATTTGAACTGTTTCAAACTCTGAAACGTATTTGTCAATATCATTTTCACAATGATTCTAAGCTGATGTATTTGGTCTTAGCGGTGCTGATGTGATGCCAACTGTCTTGTCTATATGTTTTATTATACACTCAAGTATTTTCTTCACGTATTTCTGAAACAGATGGGAAACATCCAGGACCAGTGATGAAACTGAAAGATAGTTAGACAATGAAGTGACTGAAAAGAACGTTTTTATGTGTATGATCCTCTTTGTGTGAGGCTTCATTTCAAGTATACTCTGAACAGAAGTGTCAAATCATGTAATATATTTGGATTATGGATATGAACTATTTACTGGATTCAAGACAGAACTGCGACTTGAATATACAACAAGCAATCATTATGGTTTTTGAATATTTTAAATATTTGCTCAGATTTTTATTATCTTTAAAAATAATTTTCAAGAATCAAATGAGTGTTATATTAATATAATTTCATTTTGAAGTTTACACAATGGTAAAGAGGAATTTTGAGAAGTAGTTTTTGCCGAAAACCTTAGTAAAAGCAACATGATAAAAAATTTACTTTGGTTCTTGAATGCATGTAAATACACATGAACAGGATGAAGAAATTGTATTCTGAACTAAACGTGACAACATTCAGTGATACTATATGCATAATTGCTTAGAAGAAAATATAATATGATAATAAACATGATTTTTGACTTGATATTGTCTCTGTTTTTGTCTCACAACGATATTTCCATGCAAACACATACCAGTAGATAAAAAAATTATGAATATTTTCAAAGGAAACTTTGGGGAAATATGCAACAACATCTACTCAACAGACTGGAACAGTTTTTTCCATGAAAACATATATTTCCTTGGAGCAGTTGAGTGGCCAAAATTGTTCTTAAAAATGCGAAAATGGGTGACGTCAGCGGTTCCGCTTGGGGGACCTCTGTAGGCTAAAGCACATACATTTTTGTAAAAGTAACATCATTGCTTTACTTCTCAGTGGTTACTAGACCTAAAAAAAATAGGCAAAAAAATATCCCTTATATTTAAAAATTTGGTCTGCGGTCCCTAGTGTTGTTGAGATATGACGTGTCATTGTTAATTCAGTCAGGTACAGGCCATTGACAAAATGATAGATTGTGTCATGTGACTTATGAATCAAGTTCAACATCATCTGCAATGTATGTTCCAGATACGTGTTATCATGGACTGGTCAAGAGATAAAATAAGGGTGTGAAATAATTGTAATTTCTTCAACCTTCATGGTATTTGTTGTGGAAGTCTATCTAGATACAAGGTGTCCAAGTGATCGGACTTCAAAACTTGAACAGTTAGGTCAACAAGGTGAATAAATAGATATGATACACATTGATGTTGTTGATTGTTTCCAAATAAATAAAATACTGTGGAAATGAAGAGTTCAAGTATACCATAGTTGAATGATTTGTAAGACTTGAATAGTGTTGTGTTTGATTTCAGGTCATAACAAGAAATGGGGTTGCCGCTCTGGGTGAGTCAGTTTGTCATGTCAGATATACTGGTGACAACAGGGTGACAATTTAAAACTGACAAATTAAACAAGTTTTCAATTGCCTGCCTGTAGAGTCAATTGTGGATCTGTACCCTAATTCAAATATTTGTGTGTAGACTCTGTGAAATGGGAGTGTCTCTGGGTGGGAGCTGTCGGTCTGTGGTGTGTGTGACTGTGACAACTTGTGTGTGGACAGTGGTTGGCCTTGTGTGAGTGTATATTGTTTCTGAGTAGGGGTGAAACGGTATACCACGGTATTTCGCCTTCGGTTCAGTATACTTTTATGCAATCCAAAAATTGGTAAGAGTTCCGCCCGTAACCCCCACTTGAAATGTATTCTATTTATTAGGATTATTTCGAGGGTTAAGGGTAAGGTTTGGGGTTAGATTTTAGGGTTGGGGTTTAGGGTTAGGTATTGGCTGTTTCGTGTATAGGGTTACGGGCGGAAATCTTTCACAAAAATTCAGTTTTTTTGGTTTCATACCGTCATTTTATGTTTATGTATAGCAGTTTTAAACCTTTTCTAAAATGTCCAGCAAACAAATCATTTTGTCGCAATCTATGTATTTCTTTGCTAGACGAGCGCGATTTGCCCGGAAGTAAGTCCTCATATACCGAACTGAAACGGACCAAACCGAAGGCCTTGTATCGCAATATGTACTGTACCGTGTTAAGAGCGTATCATTTCACCCCTATCTCTGAGTGTGGTCTGTTTGCCCTTGTGTGAGTGTGTGTGTGTGTGATGTGTCTCTGCGTGTTGTCAGTTGTTCTTGTTTGTCTGTGTCGGAGTGTGTTATGTTCAGCGCTCCAGATAAGCCTTTGGCCATGTGGGTATGATACCCATACTTTTTAAACTAAAGTACTGTCGGAAATAGAAAAAAAACTGTTTTTTTTCACATATATATCTACAATTTATGAAGTTAAAGTGTGAAAGTGTGAAATATCTGTGAAACTAAGTTCGGCCTAACTACAGTCTCGGTGGTAGGGAGATAGGAAACATAAAAAAAGGACTTTACTGAGGAGAGATTAGTGCAGAAATGAGCAATGCGGGTCCAAAGTCCAAAGCAACTTATTTAGAACAGACCATGGCTTTATGCAAATTAGTGTGCGATGATATTGTATTTCAAAGGACACTTTTTAAATGCCTATTTTGAAACTAGACTTAGCTTCATTATAAACGATAGCTGACGTAAAAAATACTAACTTTAATACTGAAACTAAAGGATGTAGCTACCATGGAGCCTCACTATCACTATAAAAAGAAACAGGTAGGAGGGGTCTTCTCAAAAGCATAACCAGGACGGGTGTCGCAGACGGTGGTTAGGGTTGTACTGGGGGATAGAGATATCAGCAACGATAAGATAATCCTTTAGGGGAATTAAACTTGGGGAAGTAAATGGCATGTCTTAACAATTAACAAATAATATCCAGTCCTGTCGGTCTTGGGGTGGTCTTGCCACTTATATATTTTGAGACATTTAATGGGGCGGGTGGGTTGGCCTAGTGGTTAAAGCGTTGGCTCGTCATGCCGAAGACCCGGGTTCGATTCCCCACATGGGCACAATGTGTTAAGCCCATTTCTGGTGTCCCCTGCCATGATATTGCTGGAATATTGCTAAAAGCGGCGTAAAACTAAACTCAGTCAGTGAGACATTTAATACGATAGTTGATTTAAGCTTTTCTATGGGTATCACAACATAAACGTTATGAAAGACACGTAAGATGATAATCAATAGATGAGACATATTCAATACACATGAAAAAAGCATAAAGTATCTTTGAGATAACCCCTTGTGCCTGTAGGCAGCACGTGCATTTCATGCCAGGTGAGTCGACGGTCTGAGACGGCCAGACTACCTGGCTGAGCGACCTAATTGCCATCTATAGTCTGATCTATTGTTTTCAGCAGCTATTCATAGTTTTTCTAAGTTTTGCCCTATTTTACAAGTAAACATGTACTTCTGAATATCCTATTACACATCCCACTGAACGCCCAGTTAGGCTGATGTGGGTTATTTCAACATATGCTATTTGCAGTTGTGTAAATTTAAGGGATACAGAGTAACAGCCTCCAATTTCAAGTTCGTATCTATACTTTTTGATACCCACCATATTTTTAAGATCCTGGTATTCATTTTAAATAACAAGTGTAAGAGGTGTGCCTGACACACACTACAACATGACTTCATAAGTCTTTTTTTCATTCAAAATATTTATTATTGGATATTTTCTTTTCTATGTAGCAACTGGGGTTTTTTCAAAACCTTTTTCCCCATCATGTTGTTTCACTTCCACGTCGCGAACAGCTAATGTTACAATTTCATTTAAGATATGAGTGTGTGATAAGAGTGTATGTGATGTCTTTGTGTGTGGTCTGTGTGTCCTCCACGATGTTATTGTGTGATGTCTTTGTGTGTGGTGTGTGTGTCCTTGGCCATGTTATTGTGTGAGTGTGTGATGTCTTTGTGTGTGGTCTGTGTGTCCTTGACCATGTTATTGTGTGAGTGTGTGTGATGTCTTTGTGTGTGGTCTGTGTGTCCTTGACCATGTTATTGTGTGAGTGTGTGTGATGTCTTTGTGTGTGGTCTATGTGTCCTTAACCATATGTTATTGTGAGTGTGTGATGTCTTTGTGTGTGGTCTGTGTATCCTTGACCATGGTATTGTGTGAGTGTGTGTGATGTCTTTGTGTGTGGTCTGTGTGTCCTTGACCATGTTATTGTGTGAGTGTGTGTGATGTCTTTGTGTGTGGTCTGTGTGTCCTTGACCATATGTTATTGTGTGAGTGTGTGTGATGTCTTTGTGTGTGATCTGTGTGTCCTTGACCATGTTATTGTGTGAGTGTGTGTGATGTCTTTGTGTGTGGTCTGTGTGTCCTTGACCATATGTTATTGTGTGAGTGTGTGAGTGTGTGTGTGTCCTTGACCATGTCTTTGATGTGTGTGGTCTGTGAATCCTTGACCATGGTATTGTGTGAGTGTGTGTGATGTCTTTGTGTGTGGTCTGTGTGTCCTTGATGATGTTATTGTGTGAGTGTGTGATGTCTTTGTGTGTGGTCTGTGTGTCCTTGACCATTTTATTGTGTGAGTGTGTGTGTGTGTGTCTTTGTGTGTGTCCTTGACCATATGTTATTGTGTGAGTGTTTGTGATGTCTTTGTGTGTGGTCTGTGTGTCCTTGACCATATGTTATTGTGTGAGTGTGTGTGTCATGTTTTTGTGTGTGATCTGTGTGTCCTTGACCATGTTATTGTGTGAGTGTGTGTGATGTCTTTGTGTGTGGTCTGAATCCTTGGCCATGTTATTGTGTGAGTGTGTGTGATGTCTGTCTTTGTTTGTGGTCTGTGTGGCCTTGAGCATATGTTATTGTGTGAGTGTGTGTGATGTCTTTGTGTGTGGTCTGTATGTGTCTGGTGTCTCTGTGTATCATTGCAGGTGTGTGGTCTGTGTGTCTTTGATGATGCCTCATTGTGTGAGTGTGTGTTGTCTGTGTGTATTTGTCACTGAACTTTGCACTCAGCTGTAAGATGATGGACCAGAGAATCCAGTGATTCATATTATAAGCAAATATCCACACTGTCAAAGTATGCTGACATGTCCATCCACCGAATCCTGTTGAACATGTAATCAATACATTCACAGCTAAACACCAGCACATGTTGCTGGGCACCTGTACGTACCTGAAGTCTATACAGATTAACTGACAGGTGACCCTGTAAAGCATAGGGAGATCATAAGGACAATATTTGGATTCAAACCCATGACATTGTCATAATGAGCACTGCCAAATACCATTAAGCCACACATGCCCTCAGCAAAGTTGATCATTGTGTGAAGTTACTCTTGCTATGAATGATGTGGGTTTTGGTGGATAAAAAATATTGAACCCGGATACACTCAGAAATAGGACACAGCTGAACTAGATTGCAGGGCATGTGGGATACCAAAGAGAATGACTACAAATCTGTAGATTGCATGTTAAATATATATATGACACTTGTTCTATTTGCTGCACTCTCTGTGTATTGGGAACTTTCAGTAATGAATATTAAGATCAAAGGCCTGAACAGACTGACACCAAGTGATGATTGTCATTCAATTGATTTTCAAAATTGTTACTGATGTCATGTCACTGCACTTGCTTAAAAGCCTGAAGCTTATTGTATATAGATAGCAGGTTTAATGTTAGACTGAGAATACTACCCATTGAGAATTTGGTTGAATTTTCAGTTGTATGTAACCAGCAATCTCCAGTTCTGATAAATTGAATAAATCGAACAGCTTCCATATCATTATACATATAAATATAAACATACAGGAGATGAAGGATAATCATTTCAAGTCTAGTAATGCCCCAATAACAATGTCTTCCAGCGCGCCACCTCCTGGAATCGTCAGTAGAGAGCATACAGAACCGAAGCTGTCGAGGTCTGGCTAATTTGGCACTCACTCCATCAGCCTGTTCCCAGATCATCAGCTTAGAAACACTGCCACGGGTGGTCAAGCTGCTCAACGAAACCAAGACGAAAGAATGCAAGCTCACATACTGTCGGGCATTCCGGTAAGCTGTTTCTTCATTGACTTGTTTAATGGATTTGCTAACACATTTTCTTGTGCTTTGAATAAAAGCATTTCTTCAGAAAAGTCTTTATCTGAGCTTTAACAGAGGAAGGGAAATAACCATGTGTTTTGGGCTTTTTTATATTAATTTTTTAGCTCACATGACTGAATGCCCTGATAATGTGTCATGGTTTGCACCATGGTTGTCCTTTAGGCGTCCTCAAAAGTGGCAGCCATGATAACATGTTGTTGTGTAAATGAAGAACTGTTCAAATCAACATGATATCACTCACTCATATTGTTCTCAGGGATGAGTGTCAGTTTGATCATTTGTATTTCTGCTTGGTTAATGACCTTTTCAAAGTTATTCACCTTTGAAGAAAACAAATTAAACTCCATTCCCGAGAATGTGAGTCCCCTGGCAATCTGAAGGACAGTAGTCACGTGCATGAGGTCATTCATCGTCTCTGTACGCTGTCAGTACTTTTGTCCTTAGGACACAGTATTTTTGTTTTTCTGCATCCGTTCCCTATATATGTGTGTCACGTAAAACCCTGCTGTCTGGCCAGTAGTGTTGGGAATTGGTTAAAATCTCATAATTGATGATTGGTTCATCAAAAATAATTGGTTAGCGCCATTTATCAAATATTCCTGGTTGTTTTTGTTTGCACAAAAACATAAGGAAAACAACATGTAGTTCTTTGGGTTTATTTGGTATTTTTGCAAATTGCACATGTTTAAAGGATGACTATAGTATGTTAGGAACATACATTTTTGGGGGTCTTTAAGATAAATTCAATCATGACTTGGAAGGAGCTTGTAGTGTTCATGAAATGTAACAGACAAAACCAACCTTGTCAATGCAATTGTCAATGCAAGCAAGTGTTCCAGAATTGTTTGTGTTTGATTATGAGAAAACATGATCGATTGCTTGGTCGTTTAGTCACTGCGACCAATCTTTGATTATTTTAATTAATCAGACCACCACTACTGGCAGGCATTAAACACACTGTGAAATATGTGGCTGTTTGCTTAGTTAAGCCTTGTGATATTTCAGGCTTCTGGGACGAGTCCGTGATAACCAGAGAAGGGTTGTGGAGTCTGGTGCGGTGCTGCAAGTTGCCAAGCTGCTGAAGAATGACGATGCAGACATTGCGAATTGTGCTCTGAGGACAGTGTCTGAGCTTAGCAAATCAGGGTGAGTCTGTCTTGTGGTCAGATGTCGGCCATTTGGGTAACACAGGAGTCATCGAGGTGTTCAAACTAACTGTACTCAGCAGGCAGACCAGAAAAAATATACTTATTCCAAATTTGGAGTTGTAGGAAACGTTCTTTTAAATTCAGATGATATTTATCTTTGCCATTTTGTGATAATGTCAAATTAATCATCAAGAATGACTGGTGAGTTTGTGCATACTGTACATCTCAAACTGACATGTTCATTATATTTGAAGTCGCCGGTCTCTCTCCAATTTAAGCTACAACATCAAGAATCAAAGTCATATTGTGAAATATGTGGATTATGCCATGCAAAAGAGTGAATTAGGCAACATTTTATGACTGGTCACTTGTTACTTGCAATGAAAGTGATGGAAAGTATCTGTGCAACATACATGATGTTTTCAAAACAGATTAATTTTGATCATTAACAAAATCATTCATAACTAGAAGATTTCGTGATAGTGACCAAAGATTACTGTGCTTGTTTCAACTGCCATTTATTATTGGCGGATTTGAAGCCAAAGAGAATATTCTAAAAAAGTATACATGGCTCAATCACCAGTAATATCTCAGTAGCCTAGTCGTCAAAGGATCCCGTCAACCACACCAGGGTTTAGTATTGATTCATATTATGGTTAGAACTTCTAGAAGATGTGAAGCCCATTTCTAGTGTCATTAGCTGTCATATTACTGGAATACTGTGGTAAAACCATGCACATTCAATCACTTGCTTACTCACTCACACCAAATCTAAGAAACCATCTTTTTCTCAAACAGATGCTGCTCGAACTTTGCTCGGCAGATAATCGGTGCAAGTATCCTGGACCACCTTGTGTCAACAGTTGATTGTGACAATGATGATGATTCCCATGAGGCACTGTCAATCCTCTACAATCTCACCAACCAAGCTGACGTCCGGGCAGCCATTGGAGCAGCCGGAGGTATTCAACTATTTATACGTCTGCTGCAGCAGGAGACCAACAGAAGTCACATCAACGTGATATCCGTCATCAATGCTTTGTGTTTGTGTGGAAAAGAGGCCGTCAACCGGATCAAAATTCGAGAACAAGGAGGGCTTGAGCTGTTTATCAAAGCCCTAAGGGACCCCATTTTTTGCACAGATCCATGACCGAATTATTAGTGGGTTGGTCTGCTTCTTGTATGACTTTGACAGTATGGATGTGCTTCTGGAGAACAACGTTGTGGAGGTGCTCCTTATACACCTCCAGAGATGTGGAGATTTTAAGTCATCTGTTGATACCTTAACATTTGCGAATCACACAGGGAAGAGCAAGTTGTTGAAACCCTCAGAGAAGCTATCTACCTCACATGTGAAATGTGATACTTCTATATGTTCTCTGGATGAAGACCAGTCTGATCTGTGTCTGGAAGCTGCAAGTGACACTGATGAAAGAAGTGCTTTGTCAATGAGACCAAAAGATCTCACTATAGATCAAGCTTCTAAAGTTGAAAATGAGGTCATTGAATCTATTCAGGAAGACCCTAAAAAGCATCTTCACAAATTTAGCATAGACAGTCCTACTTATGAAGTCAACACTGAATGGAATCTTGAAAACTTTGCTGGACAGACATGTAAGCAGAGTTTCAGTCAACAGAGTGTTCTGAGGTCACCCTCTCCTGAACCACCTCTCAGTCCACTCAGCCCCCTCAGCAACGACACTTACTTCTCCCCTGCCCAGTCCTCCCCATCTTACAGCCTCCCAAGGAGTCCTGATTCTGTGCCAGGGAGTCCATCAGCTTCTAATTTTGACTCTCAGTACCATCCAGTGCTTAGTGTTTCTTATACTTGTGGAAGTCCCGAGAAGACTCCATCTGGATCGAAGTCCACTATAGCTGTGAACCAGCCATGTTACTCCTCAACTGAAGAGGATGATATTTGTGATACAGTAAAACAGAAGAATGAAACAGAGAAGGATGATGCCGAGAAGGATGAAGACTGTCCCTCCCTCGACACATCATCCACAGATGTTTCATCAGAGAAGATTGAAAAGCCAGATTCGGTTGAAGATTCAGGAGCAAGAGAGGATGAATCAGTTGAAGTTCTTGGCAAGAATGTGTATGGCAAGCGACCCCTAGCTTTAAGGTCACCTTCTTACAAGTTGGTAGAGTCCTGCTCTAAGCGGAAAAAGACGGAATCAAAGAGGTCAGACATTATGAAGACTACAGAGCACAACCTCCTGATCCTGTTGTCCAGAATATCGGTGAAGACCAATCCCTCCATGTACCTTATAACGTCCTCTGCAATGTCCTGCCTCGTGGACTACCTTTTCTATGTACCTTTACCTCATTCCCGATGTGTCCGAACACTGTCCCGATTATTTAAGAACCCTCATTGCCTTAAATCGTGCCTTCTCCTCACAGTACCCGTTGTCATCTACAAGAAAATCATCCTGGATTCAGATGGAATCGACAAGGAGACTTACGAACACTTTAGCCAGCGATCATCCCATTCCCGACGATGTAGTCGAGTCAGCACTTCATCTGAGGACTCATTCTGTGGAGGTTATTTAACAAATTTGGAGAACAGCTATCCTGGGTCTACTAGCGGTACCAAAGATAATGCTTTGGACTTCACTCATGGTCTTCTTGCATCACCAACCTCCCCTCGGAGCGAGACGGAACTCAGCTTCAAGGTCGGCCAGTCACCGATGTCACAGAATGCAGCTGAGCTCAGTGTTGCTGATGTAGGACAAAGCGGGCTGAGTTTGTTGAAGGATCTGAGTTTCTCTGCCGAGTCACCGTATGGGAAGGGCATCATCTCGTCCATCTTGTTGAGGGGATCTCAAGAGGACAAATTACTGTGTACCGTCTCTCTGCTCTTCCTGTGTTGGTGAGTATATCCTGTGTAACTGTAACAGGTAGTTAATGCTGATGGGAATCAAGTGTCATTATTGATGTGAGATGCTGCTGATTATATCAACCAGTGACTCATTGGGCCCAGAAGCTTAGTGTCACTAGCAGGGTGTACAGGATTTTATTATCTGAATTCTCATGTATACCTTGAGACCAGCGGTAGCATGTTGTACACAAATGTCCTGCTTGTGAAATCCATAAGTCAGTCAAAATGCTATATTCCTGACGCATCAACCAATCAGCCAATCAATGTATGATATTATGTAGCAGACACATCAATCCATTAGCCAATCAATGTATGATGTTATGTAGCAGACACATCAATCAATCAGCCAACCAATGTATGATGTTATGTAGCAGACACATCAACCAATCAGTCAATCAATGTATGATGTTATGTAGCAGACACATCAATCAATCAATGTAGCAATCAATCAATGTATGATGTTATGTAGCAGACATCAATCAATCAATCAATCAATGTGTAGCAGACATGATGTATGATGTTATGTAGCAGACACATCAATCAATCAATCAGACACATCAATCAATCAATGTCAATGATGTTATGTAGCAGACACATCAATCAATCAGAATCAATGTATGGTGTTAGCAATCAATCAATCAGCCATCAATGTATGATGTTATGTAGCAGACACATCAATCAATCAATCAATCAATGATGTTATGTAGCAGACACAATAATCCAGCAGACACGATCAATCAATCAATGTATCAATCCATCAGTTCAATGTATGATGTTATGTAGCAGACACAGTCAATCAATCAATCAATGTATGATGTTATGTAGCAGACACATCAATCAATCAGCCAATCAATGTATGATGTTATGTAGCAGACATCAATCAATCTTATGTAAACAGCAATCAATCATGTTATGTAGCAGACATCAATCAATCAACCAATCAATGTATGATGTTATGTAGCAGACACATCAATCAATCAGCCAATCAATGTATGATGTTATGTAGCAGACACATCAATCATCAATCAATCAATCATCAATCAATCAGCCAAATCAATGTTATGATGTTATCAATCAATCAGCCAATCAATGTATGATGTTATGTAGCAATCCATCACCAATCAATGTATGATGTTATGTAGCAGACCAAATCAATCAACCAATCAATGTATGATGTTATGTAGCAGACACATCAATCAATCAATCAATGTATGATGTTATGTAGCAGACACATCAATCAATCAGCCAATCAATGTATGATGTTATGTAGCAGACACATCAATCAATCAGCCAATCAATGTATGATGTTATGTAGCAGACACATCAATCAATCAGCCAATCAATGTATGATGTTATGTAGCAGACACATCAATCAATCATCAGCCAATCAATGTATGATGTTATGTAGACAGAATCCATCAGCAATCAATGTATGATCAAGCAGAGACACATCAATCAATCAGCCAATCAATGTCAATCATGAATGTATGGTGTTATGTAGCAGACACATCAATCAATCAATCAATGCCAATCAATGTATGGTGTTGATGTAGCAGACACATCAATCAATCAGCCAATCAATGTATGGTGTTATGTAGCAATCAATCAATCCAATCAATGTATGGTGTTATGTAGCAGATCACATCAAATCAATCAATCAATGTATGATGTTATGTAGCATGACTGATGATGTATGGTGTTATGTAGCAGATGTAGCAGACACATCAATCAATCAGCCAATCAATGTATGGTGTTATGTAGCAGACACATCAATCAATCAGCCAATCAATGTATGGTGTTATGTAGCAGACACATCAATCAATCAGCCAATCAATGTATGATGTTATGTAGCAGACACATCAATCAATCAATGCCAACATCAATGTCAATGTATGGTGTTATGTAGCAGACACATCAATCAATCAGCCAATCAATGTATGATGTTATGTAGCAGACACATCAATCAATCAGCCAATCAATGTATGGTGTTATGTAGCAGACACATCAATCAATCAGCCAATCAATGTATGGTGTTATGTAGCAGACACATCAATCAATCAGCCAATCAATGTATGGTGTTATGTAGCAGACACATTAATCCATCAGTCAATCCATGTATGATGTTATGTTCCAGGGGCTCAGTGATGCAGAAGCAGTACTTAATCCGATACCATGTTCTGGACACAGTCCTGGAGCTCCTCAAGGCAGAACTCCTGGATCCAGGACCCGCTTTCATGGCCATTGTTGCTGGTCTCACCTTCATCTGTAAACTCAACAGCATTCCTCTCAAACTGAAGCAGGAGAGATCAGACACAGTGTTCAAACCTGCCTCCCAGTCTGAAAACTGTAGCACTGACCAATGCATATATCAGGGTCTTCACGTGGATCTTGTATTCAAAGTTGACAGTAAAAAGATCCAAGCCAATCGAGAAAAACTCGTACAGTCATCTGCCATGTTTCTGGCAATGCTCGAGGGTCACTATTCAGAATCCAGCCAGTCGGAAATCGCCATTCAAGACACATCGCCAGAAGCATTGGAATATGTCCTTCATTATTTGCAGGGGTGTAATCTTGGGTGTCCTGTCATGAAGAAAGTCAACTCCGATACCAGTGATGTGACTGTAGAGTTTCTTCTCGATGCAGTAGCCCTAGCTGATAGATTCCTCCTCGCAGACCTGGTTCAGTATCTGAAAGTGTCCATCTCGTCTCACCATCTGGATTCAGCATCCTGTGCCACAGTGTTTGGGTTTGCGTCTTTTCACGAGTTCTCGGACCTGGCGTCAGACTGCGTGAAGGTGGTGCTGTGTTCACCGATCAGTCTGTCGGAGAAGTCACAGCTGCTGGCACAGATGCTGAGTGGGGAATGTGCCGAGATTTTTGTGGAGATGCTGAAGGCAGTCCTGAGAGAGGGAACAGAATGATTTTGTCAGTCATAATGAAATAAATTATTTTGATTTGTTACTTTTGTTTTTCTTGATGAGGAACCTGGAGATGGCCTGGTTTGAGCAGGTCCCAAGAACTGTAGCTGATGTGACAGTCAAACATGTCACACACACTCCGTCCCACCAGTCAATGTGCTGAACCATACACATTGTTCCCATGTGGGGAATTGAACCCGGGGTCTTCGGCATGACAAGCGAACGCTTTAACCACTAGTCTACCCAACCACCCTGCTTTGTATAGGAAAGTAAGCAAGGTGGGGTCTCATCTTGTGTAGTCATGGTTTCAACAACACAGCTTCCAACCGACTTATTTGTGTGATTTTAAGTGGTTGAAATGTTTGGTATAAGATTTATCAGTTTTGTTGTGAGAGCGTCACATGAGTAATGAAAGTTAGTGAGTCTGAAGTGAGTGAGTGAGTCTAAAGGGGAGAAAGTGGGCAGGTATGCCCTATGTGGTGCAGGCTTCAAATGTTTATGACTTTGCATGATGCAGACAAACCATGAACGTTATTGGGGCAAATGAGAATCTGAACTATTATGAAAGGTTTATGACATGCAACACTGAAAACTAATTGCATCAAGTTTTATTAACTCAGACATGCAAGCCCAACTTCATCAACAGAGTGAGTTCAGTTTTACGTTGCTTTTAGCAATATTCCAGAAATATCACAGCAGGGGACACAAGAAATGGGCTTCACACATTGTACCCATGTGGGGAATCCAACCCGGGCCTTCGATGTGAGGAGCAAATGCTTTAACCACTAGGTTACAATCTCCATTTGTCACATCAACATCTTCCCAATGATTTTCTCCCACCCTGGGCCTAGATTTTCGAAGCCCTCTTAGCGCTAAGATAGTCATAAGTGCCATACATTAACATTAACTTACGACTATCTTAGCACTAAGAGAGCTTCGAAAATCTAGGCCCAGGAGTGCAATTTAATGATTGCTATTCCAATCATATCATTTTTCAAGCTACTCTCAGTGAAATTATGATAGAATAGCCTATACACTGGAGTGAGTATGGATTAGCAATATTCCAGCAATATCATGGCGGGAAACACCAGAAATGGGCTTCACACAATGTACCCATGTGGAGAATCGAGCCCATGTCTCAGTGTGGCAAGCCATCGCTTTAACCACTAGCAGAGATGCCAACCTTAATTTACCCCAATTTGTATTTTGGCAAAAAACTGATGCAAACATTAATATTTTTTGGTCAAAATTAGTATGAACTTTTCCAAAGAATTTTCATATTAAATAAAATATGTAAATACATTGTACTCACCTAAATCAGTAGTAAGTATCCATATATAGCTTGATACTGAATAAAATATGGTTTAAATTTATTGTTTACGTATACTATTTGATAATTTAATTGAATGTTTTATTTTTGAAAATTCACTCGCACTTATTCACTGGACAATCGTGGAGGACTAGAAAGTGAGAACCAAGTTTTCTGGCCCTTATTTCTTACACAACCTTGTCAAGAATTTTCCATAATTACCACACATTTAACACAACTTCTGAAAAAGGTGTCTCAAGTACAAACACCTGTCAATATGTGTAAGTTGCATTTAACGATGACCATGCCAGCCAAATGAAATTGTGTATGTGTGTGACAAATGTGATTTGTTTTAGACAAAACTATGTTGACCCTTAAAGATGTCTGCCCTTTTGGGAAGTGTCATGGTAAAAGTTTTTCCCAGTGGATTAATGCATGGCACTTGTCAAGGAAAGAACACACACGTCTGCTCGTAACCTCCAGTTCAAGATATGAGTACCAGCTGTCTTGACATCTGTGTTGGAGATGCAGCTTAAAACGTATCCATCCCAGTCTGTATTTAGCACAAGACCCCTGAAGATGCAGGTTAGAATGGGTCTTCAGCAACCCATGCTTGTTGTGAGAGGTGACTAACAGGATCAGGTGGTCAGGCTTGATGACTTGATTGACACGTCATCGTATTCCAATTGCATAGATCAATGCTCTTGCTGTTGATCACTGAATTGTCTGGTCCTTACTCGATTATTTCCAGAATGCTTTCATATAGCTGTAAAATTGCTTGTTCAACCAATGCTTGTAACAGGATCAGGTGGTCAGGCTTGATGACTTGATTGACACGTCATCGTATTCCAATTGCATAGATCAATGCTCTTGCTGTTGATCACTGAATTGTCTGGTCCTTACTCGATTATTTCCAGAATGCCTTCATATAGCTGCAGCATTAAACAACAAACATTAACAAAAAACCTGTATGAAACACAACGCAACCTGAAGGCAGATAATGGTCCATATCATTTATTCATTAGGTTACATTACAGGCAATGACATTTAGTCTTCGCAAACCTAGTCTGCGCTACAATTACAATCCTGCCTGGCCCAGTCTCAATATTAACACTTCTGATATGACCATGTACTTACAATAAATATATCAGTTTCCTCTGCAGATTTAGAAATGACACAATTCTGATCTTATTACCACATTATCAAACCAGGGTGTCATTGTACAAAACCGTTGCGCTAAAACTGAGGTCTATGTTAAGGTAAGGGAGTTACATTCACGTCAGTGCTGAGATGACATCGTCCAATGGCACCCTGAGGCTTGTTCATCAAAGCGATCTTGGCACGATGATTGTCGTAAGTCTATGTTAGAGTATGGGAGTTACGATCATCTTAGCGGTAAGATCACTTTAGGGAAGGATGTTCTGATCCAACAATCCATCTTTGCTTCATGCCACTTCAGCAACTAGAGTGAAGTTTGGTTCAATGCCACTTTTAGCAATATTCCAGCAAAGACACAACTTGGGACACAAGATATGGGTTTCACATATTGTACCCATGTGGGAAATCAAACTCCAGTGTGAAAAGTGGACGCTTTAACTATTAGGCAGCCTAACTGTGCCCTCTCAGCTTTTGTACACTTACCATAGAGTTTATAAGAAAATACTTTTCGGGTTGTCATGAGTTTGCAAACAAAGTCTCTACAGTACTTGCAGTGCTTTTATTATCAACAGAAGCTCTAGAACACAAGGTGTGAGCCTGGATAAACATAACGGACTGTCTCCATATCGGGATCTTGAAGTGATGCCGGCTGAAGACATTTACCATTTCGTAGTTACCCACAAACATGGCATGATGCTGGTAGAGTGAGGTTCACAAGAGGACACTTGGAATGGATCCTGGTACGCAAAGGGACGCAACTCTGCACAGCAAGCTACGATGCCTCTGTTCCTCCCGAGATCTATTCTTACATGGACACAGTACACGTAGTCCATCATACTTGTCATTACATGAACAGTATGTCCGACATACACATACAGGAAATAGATTTACTTGAAACATGAGTCAGTCAATGTCAGCATTACACCAGTTATACACATACAAATAATTCATTGTGATCACTTCAAAAAAGATTCGAACTGTAAGGCAATGAGACTGATGAACACTTTTTTATGGTGCACACATATTTCTCCCATATTATCTGCAATAATGCCTTCTGGCCATTGTAATCTTAACACTAGACTTGTTTACAAAACCAGTAACATCTCATTACATCACAGTGAGGTGTCAACAATGTGGTTTCATCAAAAGCATTAAGGCATTCACACAAACTTTCGACATTCTATGAAGTTAATTCATAAATTTTAGGAACTAGTATTTTTGAAAATGTAGTCCATCACTTTCTATTACAGATAAATCAATAAAGTTTAAGTATAGTTAAAATGTTAGGACTTACTCGCAATGCTTAAATTTCTGTGACCCACAACCTCCACCCCATTTATGAAAGCCGCAAATGTGTTTTGCCTACAGCGTACCTGAACAAACTTGGTTTCGGCTGCAAAGAAAAATGTCCCGAATCTTTCTTTGCTTTGCTCCAAACCAATGACTATGCAATTATGTGATCAAGGTATAAGAGCCAGTGAGTTCTACCACTGTACATGTAACATTGTCTTGTTCTGAATCGGTGGACGTATGTCAATGTATATCTCTGCAAACACTGGACACAGCAATTACATACAAATTTACATACATATCTTAGTGCACACATATCAGTAATATTCACAGTGCCATAACCTATGTTAAGTGAGACATGTCTATCATTGGGTGTATGTTAGGGGTGTCACGACTCACCGATGTATCCCAAACGTACACCTGGCGATGCAACTACCCATGTATAGATTCATAATTTGACAAAAAGAATGCATACTTTATGTAAAAAGTCAAACTGCCTGAGATCTGCTGAAACTAGCATCACTAAACGACTTTGAGAAATCTGATATGATGCTCGAAGAAGTTGAAGTCATACCAGCGGGTTTTACGCCACTTTTAGCAATATTCCAGCAATATCACAGCAGGGGACACCAGAAATGGGCTTCACACACTGTACCCATGTGAGGAATCAAACCCAGGTCTTCGGCGTTGATGAGTGAACGCCTTAACCACTAGGCTACCCCACCGCCCCAACCCACTTGGAACACAGAAGTGAAAACGGCAGAAACTAAACTATCATGATACATACTGTCTATTGGTACATCACTGAAGTATCATGATACGTACTCAACATGTGATTTAGGTATATCGTGACACCCCTACTCTTTACCACTCTCGCAGAGCAATAGGTATAAATAAATAGGTGCAAATTTAGCATTTTCTAAGTACGTCGTATCAAAGTCATGTTCTATCATTTACTAAAATAGAGCTTTAATCCAGGAGTGTGCTACACAACACTTAACTCATCATGATTGTACTCAAAGAACAGAAACGCTAAGGCATCACAGACTGGCATTCAAACTGAAAAGAATCAGATATATGCTGTGTCGATTAATGATAGAATAGTTTACAGGCAGCATGATTATGTGTGAAGTTTAAACAAGTTCCTGAAAGTTTTTTTACAACTTATCTCTGATTCATGTTTGTTTGACCATTAAGTACAAAACTTCATATTACTGTTTTTCCACAAACTTGTGTTAAATTCAACCAATACTTTCATCTGTACTGATCTTATTTTCGTTGATATTTTATTTTCGTTAAATCAAGGGGCAAATTGTACACCTTTTTTAATATTTCGACCTCATATTCTCTCATATGTATATGGTGCTAATAAAATTTCAAATCACTTTTTGTTTCAGTGAACTTTTCAGGTTTGACAATATACTTTGTAGTGAAAAACATTTTTTTTAAATTTCATTCAGTGATGATTCTAAATCACAGCATTAATGTGAAGTGGAATAATTATTCGTATATCACTATCAGTTGCCATGGTTACTGGCAGTTTTTTTAAACAGAGAGCAACAAGTAAAGCCTTTTAACATCACACAACAGGATGTAAAAACAAAGGAAATATAAATAACAAAAGACTAAAATGGTTTGCGGCTGAGTAAAGTCTATGCTCTGTGAATGGTGTGACGATGTGTCGCTCTTGCAGCACTCAGACGATGGGAAAACTTGCTAAGCATGACCATCTTCAATTATCAGTTGCTGATGTGCCACGTACATCACCCGTACGGCGACTCTACAAGGAAAACACATCAATTTTACCTGAATGTCACTTGAAGATAATCATCTGCCAAAGAGTTACTTGCAACAGTTAAGGACATCATTCAAATATTACATGAACATAATTATGTGATTTTCATCCAGACAAGTCTCACCATAACACTGTCCACAAAACAACCCACCCTCCCTCACACACCCCACCTTCCCTCAGATACACCCCACCTTCCCTCACATACACCATCTTCCCTCACAAACACCCCAACTTCCCTCACATACACCCCACCTTCCCTCACATACACCACCTTCCCTCACATACACCCCACCTTCCCTCACATACACCATCTTCCCTCACAAACACCCCACCTTCCCTCACATACACCCCACCTTCCCTCACAAACAACCCATCTTCCCTCACAAACACCCCACCTTCCCTCACAAACACCCCACCTTCCCTCACATACACCCCACCTTCCCTCACATACACCCTTCCCTCACAAACACCCCACCTTCCCTCACAAACACCACCGTCCACAAAACACCACCTTCCCTAAAAAAAACCACACCCACAAAACATCCCACCTTCCACAACAAACACCACATTTTTTTAATAAAATACCCATCTCCCAAAGAATGGATTACTAGCTGGGACAGTACAGAAATTCAATCGCTGTCAGTCCACACAAACATCAGTTAAATCGAAGTTGCAGGAATTCTGGTGTGAACTCACCTTATCAAGATCTTCCTTGGTCTTATCTTCCAGAGCCCGAATGTCGCTCATTGTCAAACCATACCACTGATCCATCCAACAGAACACCTCTCGGTGGAAATTGGTAAACAAACGCTGCTCTTGCTGGAAGCAGAACAAGATTCAGTTGTATTAACTCATCAAAACACTTCTCTGACTCTAATAGATAAGACTCACATCAGGGTACCGCTGTACAAAACAACCTTAGCGCTAAGACTACCTTAAGTCCATGTTAAGGTATGACAGTTACGGTCACCTTAGCACTATGACCGCTTTGTACAACAGCACCATTTTCCATGTTTATACACATACACAACATTCATCAATGACTTAAGATTAGAGGTGGGAATTGCAGAGAATCTTCATATTGCGATATATTGCGATGCAAAATCATATATTGTGATATGTATTGCAATATATTGCAAGAAGTTGTTTTTTTAACAAAAGATGACTCATAATCGAGTTAATGCTTTATTATAAAGCAAAAACACAAAAAATTCACACTGCTTGCTTGACACAATAAAAACGTGAACTTTTTCAAACCAAACTGCTGCCATGCTTAAACATAGGTCCAAGTAATTGTTTGTTATTGGGTGTCATCATTTTACAACAATCGCATGACTTCCAGTGGGAAAAATGGAAATATGTAATTTTTAGAGTAAAATTGATATTTTATACTTATCCTGACTCATGCTCTTTTGCTTGTCTTCTTCTTCTTGCGAACATAGTGGAAACACTTGTATCTCCTAATTGAAGCTCCCTTCAATGTATAATCACTAATTAATACTCACCATGACTTGCCTCCCTTTGTCCCAGCTCGGGAAAGGTGGCGCCACCCTCTGGCCACATGCTTCACTCTCTCCTTATTTTTCGAGCCCAACACTTGAATTTTCGGGGAAATCCAAAGTGTTATGTGGGGAGGATGGGAGGGCTTACCTCATGAGTCAGGATAAGTATAAAATATCAATTTTACTCTAAAAATTACATATTTTTCCTTATCCTGACTCATGCTCTTTTGCTTGTAGTATCCGACGGAATCGGAGGTGGGAAAGAGTAGAGACTTTGGATTTACCAGATTAATTAGTGATTTTTATATATATATATATCTGTAATAACCCCCTGACGGGAACTTATAATGGCACTGATTGTAATCCTTTGCTATTATAACTATAAATTTATACACTGCCATGGATAAAAAGGGGTATTACTATACAAAAACATACTATGAACATAGCAATAAGTATATATACTACTCCAACATGGAGAAGTTATCCAAAATATACATAATATCAGTACTGAGCTTAAGGTTAGACTTAAGCTAGGTATATCAATAGCCCTAACAACTCTGTAGAGTTTTAAGCTAGATAATACATGTATAAATATACATAATAATCTCGTAAGACTATCTTATCGTCTACGAGGGACTGTCAACTGCTGTGCGAGGACCATAGGACCGAAATGGTGAATACCTGAGACGTCCTCGGTGGTGATATCTCTCAGATAGTGATTAGCAAACACCATGTCGGATTTCCAAAACATCCCTCCATGATGGTATTTAGTGAGCAGTTACCGTGTAGCGAGCGTGGAAGCTAAGGCTCTGATTTCGCGGAGGATTTGCTGCTCTTGGAGGGTCCAGTCCAGCCGCCTTGTGTAGGCGCAGTATGACAGTTCTAATCCATATAGATATGGTGGTACGAGAGACCTCGGTCTGACTTGTCGCCGCTAAAGGGATGAATAATCGCTTGAGATGTCGGCGCCTTTGGTTTGGAACGTCAGATATAGATTTTGAGAGCTCTGACTGGGCATAGAGATAAGTCCAACGTATCTTGAGATCCGAGAATCGAGGATAGTGCAGGGATATGGAATAATCTGTCTGGTTGACCTGGCAATTGATTCTTAGCGATAAAGTCCCATCGCGAAACCCATGTGCACTGTGTTGTGATTGTCATCAAACTGAATCCTCTCGTAATCTAGTGCGTGAATTTCAGACATCCTGGCTGCCGTAGCTAGCGATAACAGGAAAACCGTTTTCTGAGTGAGAAGTTCAAAGTTTGTTGAATCTAACGGTTCATAACTTTCACTTGTGAGGTGTTGAAGCACTATATTTAGATCCCACGCTGGCGCCGCGAATTTCACTTTCTGATCTTCCAAACGAAAAGAGCGTGTAGCAAGGCGAAGTAACTCTGGCGCCTTCGCTAACTTGACACCCGCTCTCATGGTAACGACCGAGCTAAGCGCCGCAAGATATGTTGACAATGTCGAGCCCTTCAAATGTTTATTTTGACGAGGGTAACACAGATAATCAGCCACTTGTGGATGTGTAGCATCTCGCTGTAAATCCAATTTTTGCTGCGTAGTTTTCAAACTTTGCCACTTGTCGTCGCAAGTTACACGAGTAGAATAGCGCAAAGCAAGCGTGACTGCTTTTGCCGCCTTTGTAGAATATCCTCTCTTGTTTAAACACACTTTAATACAGTCCATACGCGAAGTTGGTACACTTCTGGGTTTCGCATGCTTGTTTGGTGTGAGGATGTACTAGTAGATTCGAAAGCGCTTTGGTAGCTTTAGTGTTGGTTGTCCGATTTCTTGAATTAGAATGGGAAACCACGCTCTGGCTGGCCAGTAGGGCTGCACCAAAGTTAGTTGTAGCCTCTGTGTTTGTCTGATTTTCTGTAACACTTGAGGGATTAGCACTGGCGGAAACGCGCACGCGCGCTTAGGCCTTCCCAGGATATGCTTAGAGCCGTCCGCTGCCCATGCTTGTGGATCCGGGACAGGTGATACTGTAATGTCGCTAGCTGATTGTTGAATCGAGTGGCTTAATAGGTCTACTAGCGGTGCTCCTAATTGTTTGATAATCTGTGCGAAGATTTCTGTATGGAGCATCCATTCTGTCGGTGCCGTAGGTGTGGCCGAGAGTGCGCCTGCTAGTACATTCTTGGCTCCGGAATGTGACATGCTCTGACATGTAGGTTGAGATCGCTGATTAGATCGAACAGTTGAAAGCATACAGTCAATAGGCTTGATGATCTCGCTAAGCCTTGTTTGTTCACATAATACCCACTGTTGAGTTGTCGGTATGAATCATCAGATGTGCCTGTCGAGAATGGTACTCCAATGACGATGGCGCTGATTACCGCTTTCATCTCTAACATGTTTATATGGAGCTTGCTTTCTTGCTGATTCCATATGCCTGATGTCGTCCGGGTTGGCGAGATGAGCTCCCCAACCTTGGAGCCGACGCTGCCTACATAGAGATGGGTTTGGAATTCGCTCTGTTAAATAGATGCCTTCGCAGACATTCGACCTGCTGGTCCACCATAGTAGATGAGGTCTGAGGTGTACCGGTAGACTGAATGGTTGTAGATCGCCGAGATGAGCGCTGATGAAGACCTGTAATGGGCGAACTGTAGCCTGCCTCTTAGTGTCAAGTCTTGGGCTGACGGAGGAGACCCAATAGACTCTGCCATTGTCGTAGTGGTAACGGAGAGAGTAGCTGGTGGAATGGTCTGTTGGATCTTGAGCCAGCGGTCTTCTGGAACGACGATACGGTTGAGCGTCCGTGATAAATCGAATGCCTAGAAACTGCAGATCTTGTGAAGGTACTAGGTCCGACTTGAGTAGATTTACTAACCATCCCAGCTGTGTTAGTAGCTTGATGATGTAGTTTAACTGTAGTTTGAGACGCTGTGGATCTTGATCTACTTGTATCCCGTCCGTCGAGGTAAAAACGCACTGCGTAGCCCTTGACGATGTAGGTAGGTGACGATGGGTTTCGCTACTCTTGTAAATAACCATGGGGCTGATGATATTCTGAATGGGAGTACTTTCCATTGGTAATGCAGCCCGTCCAGTGTAAATCGTAGGTATTTCTTGGATTCGGGATGTATCGGGATGTGTAGATACGCATCTTGTAGGTCTATACTGGCCATGTAATCCATGGACGGATTAAAGTGCCGTAACTGGGGTAGATGTATCATGCTAAACTTCGGTGGTTTGGCGAGATAATCTCTGCTGAACGTGCTCATGTTGTAGATGAGTCTGTATTTCTCCTTGGAGTTTTTCTTGGGTACTAGGAAAACTGGGGAGTAGAAACCTGGTTCGATGTTTACTTGATCTAGTACTTCTATGGCCTGCTTGTTCAGGAGGGAAGTAATGGCCTCTCTTAACTTTGGTAGTTGTTGTGTCTGGAAGTCGAACTTGTAAGGGTTGACTGTCAGCGAGGCGCGGCCTTTTAGTTGGATAATGATATCCGCGTGATGAAGAATGTTGGAGACATATGGGTCTTGTAACATTCCCCAGTTCTCCCAGTATAGTTGAAGGCGCCCACCCACTTGTGACGGTTGTACTGGAACGGCTGGGGTGGAAGACTCCAGTCGCTCCAAACCTGACTTTCAGCGCTTTATAGTTGCGGGAGCCTCTGGGTGCCCTGCCTCTTCCTGATCCTCCTCTGTAGTTGCCAAATGGGCTTACCTAAAAGAATCTCTTCCCCTGAACTGGCTATCTTTTATCCCGCGGTTTCTGTAATCCAGTGAATTTAGATTTCCCTGAATATCTTTGTGAAGTCTGTCTGATGACGCTGGCTAGCTGATCCATTGACTTAATCATAAGGACTTCTCTGGAATCCTTAGTGACTTCCTTGGAGACTTTCTATTCCTCCATCGAAGATGGATGGAGCAGACCACGGGCTGTATAGAGTGGAGCTGTAAACTGCTCACCCCAGTTGCAGGAAGCTTGGGAGGCCTTGACGACGGGCTAAGGTTAAGGCTGCTGAGACTGATGTGAGATGATCCGTAAGGAACTGCTGGTCCTTCTTCTGCATAAGTAGGGCCGAAAGTAAATCATTCTATCATCTTCAGATGTCGTGTCACGAAATCTGGTGATAAGAGTCTCATTGATCGCTCTAGATCTATTAAGGCCAAAGAACATTCGCCTAGTCATGGTTTCTAGCTGAACCAACTTTGGCGATCGCCAATCTTGTAGTTCTTGTTCTTGACATCATTGATCAACTTGTAGTTGTCGCCTATGTCTTGTGCCTTGAGGAACGGTTCCATGTTGTGGGTTGAAAACTTGTTAGCATGGAACAGTGGTAAATGTGCTGTTTGGACTTTAGTGGCTTTGTGGAAGGCTGAGTCCAAATTCTTCGGGTACTGCAGCAATCGGGTCGATCGGGTGGTAAGGTGATGGCATCAGCATCGCCCTCCTTCATCAAATAAGTCTGCGCCGAAGTTGTTACTCTTGGAAGGTGAAGAAAGGTCTAGGTTGTTTACCATCCAGTATCGTGATCTCAGCATCTGAGAAGATGATGCCTCCATCGCCTTCTGTAATGGGATCGCCCATAAGAGGTTGATGCTCTTGTAATGGCGGTATATATGGTTCTATCGCTGTACATGGAGACGATAATGGAGACCTGACTTGGGACTTCTGTGAAGACCTGTGTGGCGATCTGTGTGGAGATCGATGTGGTGATCGGCGCAGGTGATCGGCGAGGTGAACGGCGCAGGCTTAACGATATGATCTTGGTGATCGGCCTGATGAGCTGCGCCTGGACTTTCGCGAGATCTGTGAGGTGAACGCTGATAGCTTCGCTAAAGCCCTTGAGGAATCTGCAGATGATCGCCTGGACGAAGATGATTTAGAACCTGCTACTGGAGTCCTTCGTGAAGCCCTTCGTGAAGCCTTAACTGTGTCCGTTCTGGGGAGTGACGGCTTGACCTTCGCGAAGGCTTTCGTGAAGTCGGGGTCCGAGTCTGAGTCCAAGGACGACGAAGTCTTCCTTCTGGAATCTTTATAAGAGTGATGATCCTCCGAGTCCGGGAAGGTGATGATCTTCTAACCCTTCGTGCAGGCTGTTCATCTGGGTCCTTCCTGGAGGTAGACTGTGACTTCCTTCGCGAAGGTGGCTTGGTCGTGGCCGCTACGCTGACGGAGTGTCCCTCTGGGCAGTCGCTCTGCTTGGTGCCTTCGCGGAGGTCCTTCTGGGCTGGTTGCAGTCTGTAACGGTCCTCCATCATCTGCATGATCTTCTGTTTCATGTCGCCTGGGATGGTCTGCGACGATGTCGTCGATGCCCTCTCTGCGATGTTACAAGGGCCCCTCAGAATGATCGTCAGACATCAGTGTAGAGACATCAGGCTGCCTGTCGATCTCTGCTGACGCTACTGTAGCTGACACCGGTCGCTTCTTGTATGTAGATCGGGTATGATGATCGGCTGGTCGCCATACAGGCCCAGTTCAGCGGCGCGGGAAGAATCTCGCTGAGAACGCTCTAGCTGGCTTCTTATCTTTTCCCTTGGAGGTCGGCGCTGCCCTGGGGGTACGGAGTTTACGCTGTGACGAAGTCGATGCCCTCTTAGACTTCTGCTGCGAAGACGGGATGTCTGGGGAAGCAGGACGCTTCTTGGAGGCGGCGGACTGCATCCCACGCCCCTCCTCCGGCGAATCTCTAGCGGAACACCAGACGGGAGGGGGTCGTCCGACAGCAGTTGACTGGCTAGAGGGTCCGATGTATCGGCCATGCCTAAGGCTTGTTTACGTGACCTATCTGCTGCACGTCTCAAGACGCAAAAACGATATTTGTTAAATGCAGAAATGGATAAATTAATACAGTAACTGCAACGTGAAGTAAACGCATTGCAGGCGTGAGTACAGCTAGGACATATTAAATGCGGATCAGCAGCAGAAAACGTAATCTACAAACAGTACAGATTTTCATCCACGTAAACTAGGCTGAACAATCACGGAAAACCGTGAATAAACAGTAGAATTACGAGTAATAATCAATACATATTGTTAAAGGATACTAGCTACACCTCTTTAGTAAGGAATAAGAGGTAATAAACTAAGAATAATCAAAGGATATAGTGTGCAAGGAGACACAGGTGCTCTCACATCCTGCTCACTGGGCGAAGAAGGAGAGAGTGAAGCATGTGGCCAGAGGGTGGCGCGCCACCTTTCCCGCGCTGGGACAAAGGGAGGCAAGTCATGGTGAGTATTAATTAGTGATTATACATTGAAGGGAGCTTCAATTAGGAGATACAAGTGTTTCCACTATGTTCGCAAGAAGAAGAAGACAAGCAAAAGAGCATGAGTCAGGATAAGGAAAAATATTTGAATATTTCCGAGTATTACAAAGTTTTCCTAATGCATGTCAAAATACCGGTTTTCAATCAGCGTATCTCAATACGTATCGTTTTCATGTCTGAACCGGTAACTACCGGTAAACCGGTTATATTGCACAGCCTTACTTAAGATCCATCCAAGTTGTATCTTGGTTGTACTTTAAGCTTTTACCTTCAGGAAGGAGAAAGTACGAGTGACTATGTTTTTACACAACATAAGTACAATTCTAACAATATCACGCCAGAAACTGGTTTCACACACTGATGCTTGTACCCATATGGGGAATCAGACCCAGGTCTTCCGAGCAATGAGCAAATGCTTTAACCACCAGGCTACCCTACCATCCTTTTGTCCTACAGAAAGTTATACAGCCACGATACCAGAAAAGTGCAATTTTAAGAACAGTTCTCTTACCTTCATGATCATTTTTTCAACTCTAGTCTGCAGACCAAACCACTTGAATTTGGCCCGAACCAGTTTATATGCACACATAACTGGGTCAACATTTTCCTGCAAAAGCAAATAAAATTTGAACACTTCATCAATGTCTTAAATTAAACTACTATCAAGTAATACTGTCTCTAAATTAAACTACTATCAGAGCTGGGTAATCCCTGATGTAGCTGAATCATTGCTGTGGGTCATATTGCCCCAAATTTTAATGAGTGAGTGAGTAAGTTTAGTTTTAAGCCACACTCAGCAATATTCCAGTTGATATGGCAGCTGTCTGTAAATAATCGAGTATTGACCAGACAATCCACTGATTAAACATCATGAGCATTGTTCTATGCAACTGGGATACAATGACATGTGTCAACCAAGACAGCAATCCCGTTAGTCGCCTTGTACAACAACCATGGGTTACTGAAGATCCATTCTAACCCAGATCTTCACGTGTACAAATTTTAATGGCTGCCTCACCTTCCAGTTGGGAGTATCTAATGGGCCCCTTCCTGTCTTCTGACTCTTGAATAACTTCGGATCAGTGGATTTCTTGTAGTCCTGTAAACAAATGTAAAAATGACTTAGAGACAAGTTCAAAAGATTCATGTAGGACAAAAATAAATAATTCCATAAAATTTCAGAAATATCCCCCTCCCCAACCACCCAAGGAAAGCTGAATTCCTTGAAAGTGAGTGTGGACCTGTAAATAAGTACACCTCGATTCTGGGCTCAGAAGTAAGACTTGGGTGTTGGGGCGCTGAAAAAAGAGTGAGTGAGTGAGTGAGTGAGTGAGTGAGTGAGTGAGTGAGTGAGTGAGTGAGTGAGTGAGTGAGTGAGTGAGTGAGTGAGTGAGTGAGTGAGTGAGTGAGTGAGTGAGTGAGTGAGTGAGTGAGTGAGTGAGTGAGTGAGTGAGTGAGTGAGTGAGTGAGTGAGTGAGTGAGTGAGGAGTGAGGGAGGGAGGGAGGGAGGGAGCGAGCATTGGCCCCTTATCGAGTAGGTCTGGTGTCTGTAAGTAACGGAAACTGGAGTCTAGGGGTGGTGCGATTAATTGGTCGCAATGACTAAACGACCTAGCAATCGATCATATTTTCTCATAATCGAACACAAACTATTTTGGAACACTTGTTTGCATTAACAATATTTTTCACAAGGTTGGTTTTGTCTGTTACATTTCATAAGCACTACTAACTCATTCCAAGTCATGACTGAAATTATCTTAAAGAGTCCAGGTAATTTATGTTCTTAACATATCAGTGATCCTGTAAAGATGTAAAATTTTCAAGAAATTGTGTGCAATTTGCCACACAAAAACCCCAGAAAGAACTACACGTTTTTTATTTATATTAAGAAACATAACCATGAAATTTGATAAATGACGCTAACCAATTATTTATACCAATTCCCAACACTACTGAGTCCCTAGAGGCAAGCGAGTCTGGAGTCTCTGTTATGTAAACTCAAGGAAATCTGTATCCGAATGCACTGACAAATCATCTCCTGCACCCAGTCCACATCTCAGTAAGACTGTTTGCCCACAGATTCTCCATGGGAGATCCTACCCGAACAATGCAACCATGACTACCTTCCTGAATATGTTTGAAGTCCTTACCGATGAGGAAACTTTGTCAGTTATATCAATATTGCAGACATCCAAGTGCTTCAGTTCTTCAGGAGTCAGTCGATGGGCCTGGTAAAGAGGAATTGAATACACATAAGGAAAACAGTAAAGCACCTGCTCAATATTTTCAGATAAAGTAACTTCTTTGAGAGGCAGTTAGAAGTTGGACCACCAACGAATGATAACTATATATGGTTGAACAACTTCTTTATTACACGGAGATGACACTTTCAGGGGTTCAAAAATCCTATTACCCGACGCCCGGGACAAGTCAGTTTTCATTTCCGGCAATCAAATAATGGTATCTTACTTGTCCGTGGGCTACTAGATAATCTCTGCTTATGGTTTCAAACTGCAAATAAACTTGGATTTCATTTCATATCTGCTCAAAATGTAGCTATTAAATTTTGCAATGATAATTAAGTAGACTTATCTTTCTTTGCTATTTATCACTTCTCGATAAATAGTCCAGTGAACATTAACATCAAATACCATGTTGATTTCTTCTTTCATAATTACATCATTATAATCATGTCATAAAAATCAGGGCAAGTGGAAAATTGGCCAGGACAAGTTACTTTCTTGAAGTTACTTGCCCTGTGGCAAGTGGCTTTAAAAAAAAATTGAACCCCTGACTTTGGTGTAGGTTCTAACACCTTGCTTGATAATGGTGTTAGAACCTACACCGAAACGTTGCTCTCACTGTAATAAAGAAGTTGTTCATCCATATAGCGTTATCTTTCTGGATAAAGTAGCCTACATATGAAATCATATGTTCTGAAACATGTTTTTATCTACAAAATGACATACTAACAATGAAATACAGAAACTGAAACATATTACCAAATGAAATGTTCCAAAACCATGGTAACAGTTCGATGACAATAGCTTTTTTTTATACTTTTAACTGGTTTCTTTTTTGTTTTGTTTGTGTGTTTATTGTTAACGCCGCACGCAGCAATATTCCTGCTGTATGGTAGCGGTCTGTAAACAATCGAGTCTGGACCAGACAATCCAGTGATCAACAGCTCGAGCATCCATCTACACAATTGACATATGTCAACCAAGTCAGCGAGCCTGACCACTCGCCCCCGTTGGTCGCCACTAACGACAAGCATGGGTTGCTGAAGACCAATTCCTAACCCGAATCTTTACGGCTAGATTCAGATGTATCCAAATACTATACCAAAAGGCAGGACATACGACAATGCCTGACGAACTTCATATCTTATGATGAGTGAGTGAGTCGGATTTTACGCCACTTTTAGCAATATTCCAGCAATATCATGGTGGGGGGAACACCAGAAATGGGCTTCACACATTGTACTCATGTGGGGAATCGAACCCGGGCGACGAGAGAACACTTTAACCACTAGGCTACCCCACCGCCCCTTGAAGGACCAGGCAGCTTGTTCCAGATACTCACATTAGCTGTGTTCCCCTTGTCCGGTAAGTGGAGACTTTCTATCACAATATGGAAAGCATCCTTCATGTACTCCGGATTCTGGAAAATGAACAATAGAGTCACTTGACTATTTGCTTCAACAGATGTCTGAACAGAAACAAGAAGACAAAGTCATCATTATCCCCCACAATGGTAAAATACTTTTCATGAATATGTCAACTAGATACGACTATGTCCAATGTACGGTTTGATGTACCTCAGTAATGTTGATATAGAGTGGTTCTGTTGATTTATGTCATTAGGTTCTTGGATACCCACAAAGTGGAAAGAGACTATTGACAGGTTTTAAATTTCTGTTCCAGAAAAGATCACTACCACCAATTTCAGTCGAAGTCAAACCTGTTGCCATGGAAACGAAAACAATTTTTTTTAATTCAGATATCAAAAACTACTAAAAGGCACCAGTTCACCACCAGACCTATCTTTGTGCCAAATTTGGTGAAGGGATATTGTACAGTTTTTAAGTTCTGCTCTGGAAAAAACGGATAGACAAAGTCCAAAATAATACCCTCCACAAAAAGCGTTGCGGGTGATAATAATAAGCTGACCAGTTTCTTCATCCAATTCATAAACCACTCCAAGGCGATGTTTAATACCTAAACTAATGGACAAGCGATGTAACAGCTTCGAAAATACCTTGCCCAGCATTCAGCCTTGTCTCAAACACAGACATTCCTTGAATTCATCTTCCGAAGGACGTTGCAAGTATCAAGGGGTGTAACAATACAGTGAGGTCTCAATACAATACATATCCCCACAATATGGGTGCAATACGATTTCATGAGTTCATTTTCTCTCACTTCCAGCAGGTGAATCAAAGCCCTAAAACAGTTTGTTTAATATTTCTCACAGGTAAATAGGATATTGTAGAAAAGAAACACATACGCTTGGAGCAGATTGACCAAACAGATAATACAAGAAACTCTGCAGAAACTGGGTCTTGAACAGTTTTTTGTTATAGTTCAAATGTTTATATCAATGTAACTTGAATCCCACGTTGCAATACAGGAGTTGTATATCGATGCATTGTATTGTGAGCCTCGTATTGCAATACAAGTCTCTATTGCCATATCGTTGCACCACTAATGTTCACCACTCACAGAGCTTTCAGTCAAGTGAGTGAGTTTAGTTTTATGCCACACTCAGCAATATTCCAGCTATATGGCGGCAGTCTGTAAATAATAATTGTTGAGTTGAATTTTACGTCGCATCGGCATTATCTGAGCCATATAGTGACTGCAGTAAATAATTGAGTCTGGACCAGACAATCCAGTGATCAACAGCATGAGCATCAATCAACAGAACTGGGATACGACAACATGTGTCAACCAAATCAGCGAACATGACCACCTGATCCCGTTAGTCACCTCTTACGACAAGCATGGGTCGCTGAAGACCAATTCTAAGCTGGATCTTCACGGGTCTTTAGTCAAGTCAGCCGGAGCTGGAAGGCTTCTACCCAAAGCTACACTCAGTGGGTCAGGTTTCAGGTGAGATATGGATGAACAGCTTACCGTTATCACTGTCCTGCAGTAAGGATAGGCATTCCATGCCTCTTCATGTACTTCTAGACTTCCCTTCGGTGCTAATACACGAATATATCCTGGCACTTTGCTGCAAAAGAAAAGAAACACAGCTTGCTATTTATAGATATATCAACAGATTTGTTTGTTTATTTGTTGTTGAACGCCGCACTCATAAATATTGAAGCTATATGGTGGTCTGTAAAGATTTGAGTCTGGACCAGACAACCCAGTGATCAACAGCATGAGCATCAATCTAACTGGGATACGATGACATGTGTCAACCAAGTCAGCGAGCTTGACCAGTGGTTCAGCCTCTTATGACAAACTGAGGACCAATTCTAACCACATTCTTCACAGGTAGATACCAAAAGAAAATATATTCCCATGATAATGAAAATGTGTAATCACAAATATAACATACTTTATTTAAGGATTTACATTCTTATGTCATTATAAGTCTTTGTTGTGCTTCAGAACTGTCCATGCTAACTAGACATCTGGCTTGATCAACTCTGATCCACTGGTTTAAACTACGCTTTGCTGTTCTACTACTAGGCTTGGTTTGGTTGTTGTTAAAAGCTGCACTCAGAAATATTCCAGCTATGGTATATGGTGGCGGTCTGTAAGTAATCAAGTCTGTACGAGACAATCCAGTCATCAACAGCATGAATATCGATCTACACAATTGGGATACAATGACAAATGTCAACCAAGTCAGCGAGTCTGACCACCTGATCCCGTTAGTTGCCTCTTACAAGTACGGGTTGCTGAAGAATTCTAACCCGGATCTTCACAGATTGTTCTACTACTTAACACCCATAAACTCCAGCTCACCTCTGCAAGTGGTAGACTTTATAAGTGTATTGCCCAGTGTTGAAATCACCACCAAGAAGGGGGTCGGGAGGTTGTACCCCCTCAGTAGGGGAGAAGGGTTCGTTTTTTATCACCTCAATACCCTCGCCTCCACCCGTCTCATTCTTGCTGGCCTCCGCCACAGAGTAGAGCTGAGCCACTTGGTACTGAAACACACAATAGGTATGAGTTTGTTTGCTATCTAATGCAGCACACCAAGGCCTTTTATTTACCAGTATAACTGAACAAGGCCTTTTATTTGCCAGTATAACTGAACAAGGCCTTTTATTTACCAGTATAACTAAACAAGGCCTTTTATTTACCAGTATAACTAAACAAGGCCTTTATTTACCAGTATAACTAAACAAGGCCTTTTATTTACCAGTATCACTAAACAAGGCCTTTCATTTACCAGTATCACTAAACAAGGCCTTTATTTACCAGTATAACTGAACAAAGCTTTTATTTACCAGTATAACTAAACAAGGCCTTTATTTACCAGTATAACTAAACAAGGCCTTTTATTTACCAGTATAACTGAACAAAGCCTTTATTTACCAGTATAACTAAACAAGGCCTTTATTTACCAGTATAACTAAACAAGGCCTTTTATTTACCAGTATCACTAAACAAGGCCTTTCATTTACCAGTATCACTAAACAAGGCCTTTATTTACCAGTATAACTGAACAAAGCCTTTATTTACCAGTATAACTAAACAAGGCCTTTATTTACCAGTATAACTGAACAAGGCCTTTTATTTACCAGTATAACTAAACAAGGCCTTTCATTTACCAGTATAACTAAACAAGGCCTTTATTTACCAGTATAACTGAACAAAGCTTTTATTTACCAGTATAACTAAACAAGGCCTTTATTTACCAGTATAACTAAACAAGGCCCTTTATTTACCAGTATAACTAAACAAGGCCTTTTATTTACCAGTTTTATTTTTCCATTTTTGGACTCTCATCAGACATTTTCCATCAACCACATAAACCCCTGCCTTGATACACAATGCCAACACTCATTACTCACCTCCTCAACAGAAACAGGCAGAACGACCCGGCTGAAAAAACAAAGTTTGAATATATTACGACAATCACAATGAAAAGAAATTTAAAACTTGTCAACTATTATTGCATGAACTCATAGAAAATGCTTAGATCATCACTTGTAAATGTCAAATGCGAAAATGGTGAGATATCAGACTTGCATTTATCTGTTCGTTTTCAAGATGTTTTTACCATAAATTTTTACCACCTAAATTATTACCATTATAATGTGTATCTATCTTAATCCACACCCATGCCTTAAACATGACAAACCATACACTGAGCATTTAGAGTGAGTGAGTGTAGTTTTACGCCACTTTTAGCAATATTCCAGCAATATCACGTCGAGGCACACCAGAAATGGGCTTCACACATCGTACCCATGTGGGGAATTGAACCCAGGTCTTCGGCATGACAAGCGAACGCTTTAACCACTAGGCTACCCCACCTCCCCAACTTCCACTGGTGAATTCCCGAAACTGCAAAATTGCAGCCTCGTATTTATAACAACTAACTTGCACCCAATATTTTGCTGTTCAAAGTTCAAAGAACAGACGCTTCAGCTGGAAAACAGAATGAGGAACTGGCTTGGAGCGGTGACTCTCACAACAAAGCTGACAGTGACTGGATGACAGCTTCTGTTTACGTCACAATATTTTATGAAGAAAGATGAAACAATCTTATCAGTACCAGAATAATTTTGTTATAATGATGTTCTAAATCATCAATACAAAACTAAAACATTACATATAATTTTATACTGACCAGCAAGTGCAACCCGTTTTTGTCTGGTGCAAGAAGTATATTTAACCAAGATAGCATTTCATATATTAAGCCATGATACTATATTGATACCCATAGGCAGGTCAAAAGTGTCATCGAAAGCCTAGACACCTTTTTGCGTGCATTCAAGTGATATTTTCTCATCTCCTTTGGCAGTATACACAAGTAGACTTGCACAATTCTCTAAGGTAGGCAACAGTTTAGCCTAAACTTGTTTTCAAAATCAATTTGAGCTGATTTGTCTCAATCATAGTGAGAGAGTGAGTGAGTTTGGTTTTACGCGCTTTTTGCAAAATTCCAGCTATATTATGGTGGGGAACAATGTACCCATGTGGGGAATCAAACCCGAATCTTGGACATGACAATTAACGCTTTAACCACAAGGCTAACCCATCACCCCATCTCTATCCAGCGATTCACCTTGAGTCCTGTATTTGAGGGTCCCTGGGAGTCATACATAATATTCAGGGATCCTGGCGCCTAGATTTTGAAACTTTCTTAGCACTAAGATAGTCGTAGTGCCATACATTACCATTAACTTAAGACTATCTTAGCACTAAGAGAGCTTCGAAAATCTAGGCCCTGAACTACAAAATGGGGTCCCAGACACCTACATATTATCACCAATGCTATGTTGTAATATTGTTGCAATGCAGTTGCTGTTTTTTGTATTGTGTATTCTAAGATGCCTAGCGGTTAGAACAATCGAAAAAAAAAAACATTATCAGACAATAAAGGTATAGTTTTTGATGACGTAACAATTGAATGACGTTATCCCGTCACTGCGCCATTCTAGTGTGCCCCTCGTAATCGAACCATTTTACATTACGTCACAATGTAAGCGGCGTCCTGATGCATGTCAGTTGTCATCGACTCGTCTGACCTCCTACAGTAAACTACTCTGTTGCATCCCGTTTCTTGGTTTGCAGTTGCATCCCGTTTCTTGGTTTGCAGTTGCATCCCGTTTCTTGGTTTGCAGTTGCTTCACGCAGCTAACATCACTGGTGGAAACATTACGTTTATGTTTTACGGCGGTTAAAATGTGTCAATTCCACTCACAAGTTTTCAGCGACACGGTAACGTTCGCGAATGTTTACATTCCCACAATGCAATGCGTGGAATGTAAGCTTGAGTACTCAGCTTTATCTGGATGTACTGATCTAAACTTACGTTGGTAGTAGAAATCGCGGCGTTTCATATTGCCCCATATGGTTTACGTTAATGACAGATGTCATTAAAATAATTCAGAGAAGATATTTAATCGAATGTAAACCGTCATCAAACTGTTATCATTTGTTTTCTTCTGGTAACGTTAGATCTTAACGTAGGGGCAGACACACACATCAATAGAACAGCACGCCCTGGCGAGGATTCTCAATTTAGGTCACCGACACCATCATTTGTTTTTGCCTTAAATTAATCGTAATTATCCTTAGAAAGAGTTAAGTTTGGCATCTTAGAAAGAAATACAGTTAAGCTCTACCACCATGTATAGTGTAATAAAGCACACTTTTTAGCCCTGAACTATTATAGCGTTAAGGCACTTGGGCGCAAGCGTCCCTCGTGCTTTAACTATAATAGTTCAGGCTTAAAGTGTTTTATTACACTATAAATGGTGGTGGAGCCTAACTGTATTTCTAATCACATTGTTATAGTAACTAAATTGCAAGAGATACCATAACCAAGCTTTAGTGATAACTTATTGTTACATGATTGGAATGTTAACAAAAGTTATTTGGACTTTTCCTGCGTCCGTATGGACGCGCTAATAAATTGTGTTGCTTCCATTGTCATTTTTATGTGTATAGGATGCAGGAATTCGCTTCCCATAAATCCCTGTCAATCATAACACTGCATCACGAATACAAATATATTTCACTTGATATGGGAAGGGGATGAGTCAAGAGAGCAGTACAGAGGGCATTACAAAAGTAGCCATTCTGACAAAATGGTCAAACCTACAGAGACAAGCAGCCAAAACTTGACTCTTGCCATGAATTTCAGTAGAAGTTAGTGTTATTATGTCAACTACTATAAACAGAGCTTACTAGACCAAACAAAGTGCAGCATTAAACAACAAGAAACAAACAGAAGTCCCAGTTGCTGAGTGGGTTAAATCAGTGACTTTACCATGTTTACAGTCCGAATGACTTCATTTGAGACTGATGAATTGCTCACTAACACAAAATCTAATAATTGCAACAAAACCAAACTTTGCACAGTCACATGAAATCGACAGATCAACTCTGATGATTTGTCTCATAATTTTGGACACCCAATTAAAAAAGTTGTTTAACCAACGATCATTATTTTGTTGTCACTTTTCACTGTTTCTTACGAGGGAGGACCACTGGCTGGTAGAGCAGCCAGGTGTGCGAGTTGTACGTATGAAATTGAAATTTCACTGCACATGCTTGTTGATTACCTGGCTGTTCTACCAGCACGTGAAGTGGTCTCCCTTCGTAACAAATAGCGATTTTGTGTTAGTGAGCAATTCATCGGTTGCAAATGAAGTCAAATGGACTTTAAACGCTGGTGATTTGGTGCCCAGTTCGAATTTCAGATGGGACTCAATCCAAAAAGTACTAGAATCTGTACTTCACTAAGAAAGTTAAATCTCAATATAACCATTGTTAAAGCTTCAAACTAACAAAAGTAGTTCCGGACGCATGTACTGCATATGAAACTGAACAAATTAATCTCACAAATTTCATTTGAAAAATTTGTTCAATAACATTGTCACTTGTTTACCTTTTGATAGTGACCTACTTTCCTATTGGTTCTTCACAGTTCGAGTAACTACTGAAGCCTGTAATATGTGATGGAACAATGGACCTAGTAGACACCTGTGTCCCATTGTTACAACTTACAGAGCTATGTCCGCTGATCAATAATATCTACACCCACATACATTCAAGTCGAAGAAGTTGTAATGTATCATACATGGTTTATTAGACAGCTACAGGACAAATCTTAAAGAACAATGAACAAGGCTTGGTTTGTCAAACAATATCGCATTGTTCCCTTCTGACATCATTTCTGGATATTCCAATATAAGCTTATGATGTGATATGAGTGAGTGAGGGAGTTGAGTTTTACGCCGCTTTTAGCAATATTCCAGCAATATCACGGCAGGGGGACACCAGAAATGGGCCTCACACATTTAACCCATGTGGGGAATCGAACCCGGGTCTTCGGTGTGATCAGCAAATGCTTTAACCACTAAGCTACCCCACCACCCTTCATACAACTCATGGGCGGTGGGGGTAGCCTAGTGGTTAAAGTGTTGGCTCGTCACGCCGAAGACCCGGGTTCGATTCCCCACACGGCACAATGTGTTAAGCCCATTTCTGGGATCCCCTGCCGTGATATTGCTGGAATATTGCTAAAAGCGGCGTAAAACTAAACTCAGTCAGTCAGTCATACAACTCAAAAGATAAAAGAAATATAGTCCTGGAGTGTCGTTCCTTGTGCAAAAAACACCACATAAAACAGGGCAGGGAGAAAAAATGTTTTTAACCTTTTACAAGAATTAACCTTTCACCATTTTAGTCTTAAAAAAGTATTGTTATGTACAAGTGAAATACACAGTTTGAAGTCAAAAGTGGGTCTGGGGGTTATGGTTGGTTGTCTTATTTGTTGTCTAATGCTGCACTCAGCAATATTCCAGCTATATGTCTGTAAATAATCAAGTCTGGACCAGACAATCCAGTGATTAAACATCATGAGCATCATTCTACGCTCTGGGGGTTATGGGGTTTCTGGGTTAAAGCATCTGAGCCCAGCATGTGAAGGAACAACCTTAATTTTGAACTATAACATCAGAAAAAGACAGGCCCCTAGACTTACAACAATAGAATGTTAACTCTAAGATGTCCCCTTAGGTTCATTACATTTAAACAGGGCAAGAACCTTCTTCATGCCTTCTTTTGGGAGGAGTTTTAGGTCAGTATGTAATAATTTCTTTGTTTCTTTACCTGTCATCAAAGGAGTTCAAGCAGCTGGTCATACACATTAACCTTTGACCTCTCACAGGGTCACTAGGTCACAACCAACAATAGTTCTGATAGTCAATTGTTATTGCAGCTGAGAACAAGGAAGACCTGATAGTGCTATACAAAGTGCAAGTGGAGTATGTCCGACATCTGGGCTGGAAAGTACCAAGTGAAACTGGGGATGATAGTCAATGATACACAAGTGAACCTGATAAATAAGACCTGATAATACAGTC